AACCGACTGTATTTATTACGAGAGAGAGAAAATGAGTGAGAAAGTTGTTTAAAGCAAATGCGGAGTGATGAAAATAGAGAGAGAAAGAGAGAGAATTATGGAAAAAAAATAACGTAGTTAATTAGCGGCGAGCCACTTTACTTAACTTGGGTTCAGTGCACAGTGCACACTGTAATAAGCAAAGAACAACTCGCGAGCAAACACCCTTGAACGTGAGGAAACTGAAACTCAAAAGCCAGACAAGCTTTCGACCCAGACTATTAACGATTTTGCTTTTATAAACAGAAATTATATTTGAGGCTGTACTCTCGTGAGGCCACTTGACACATAACTTTGCTTGATATAGTTGTTTATATATATAAACATGTATATACACGGCACGCGCATTGTATAAAAAACATTTATATATTCTTTTTTTTTCATTATTTTTACTTTAAATTTTCAACGGATATAAAAGAGTGCAATGCGCGCATTTACCTTTTTTTCTGTTTTTTTTTTAAATCACGAGTCAATGTAGAAACTATTCAAGAGGGCATTGCGGGCGGATTAAACAGTGATTTTTATTGAAATCATAAAGAGACCCCTGTAAATGTATGACTAGCTTTTTTTCTCTATACAATTCATTTGTGCGGTATTTTATACCGATTATAAATCCTACAATATGAAGTTGAAAAAAAAGAAAATTGAAAAATGATTTATTAATAAAATTAAGAGAAACAAAATTATTTCTGCACATTATTGTATATTATTGTAAATCACGAAAGTTGAATAAAATAAAGAAAGTAATAAATAAATACAGGCCTTGCACTCACCTACTAAAACCTACTATTTACTGCTTTTTTGTAGTTGCTCTTTTTTTATTTGTTACACTAAAATCCCTGACTTTTCCCTGAACTCTGGTAACCCTATATATAAATATTACGTTTAATTATAATAAATCGAATTATTATTATTAAATATTAAATTTAATTATAATAAATCCAATTATTATTATCAAATATTAAATTTAATTATAATAAATCCAATTATTATAATTAAATATTAAATTTAATTATAATATATTTAATATAAAAAAAAATTTGTATTTCAATTGTCCACAGCGAAAAATGAAAAGGGATTCTCAGTCGTTGAACGAAAAGGACAATTGTATAGTGAAGTGTGTATAGAGAAATTGAAATGGCAACATCATTAAACGACAACGACAACGACAGGTCTACCACTGAAAATTGAACACAGAGAAAACAGGGGAAAGGATAAGAAGATTTCTTGAAGGGTGAAGGAGAGAAAAAGTGAAACGCCACTGGGTCCCCCTCCTCCTCCCTCACCGCACATTTTACACGCCTCGTGGATCTCAAATCGTTTGAAATCCCGGACGGTGGAAATAATACAACTTTGTGTTCCTTGGCGCGGGATCAAAGGGATACCAGGGGCTTTTCTAAGGTCATGGCATCAAGTCTCCAATCTCAAGTCTTTCTATCTGCATCTTTGCGACCCTCTCACGGAAATGATCATTTTAGTAGATCGAGGCCCTATCGCACAGAGAGATGAATCCTCATTAAACAAAGAAAAAGAGAGAGAGAAAGAGAGAAATGTTTTGCGAGGATGTGTCCCTAACGTGAAAGAAAGTAGATTTCATTTTTGCCCGACTAAACTCAAAGGATTGAAAAAAAAAATGGAAAATAAAAATAGAAATAAATAAATGAAAACAAAGAAAAATACTAGAATTTCTCTTTTTCAAAAATGAAATTGTGAATTAAAAATTTTTCTACCATTGAATGTGTACAAACATTTTTTTTCATTAATTTTTTAATTTTTAAAACAAAATTTAAAATATCTCGTTTCCTTGAAAACATTATAATTATTTTGATCAACTTTATATTCCTTGCAAAAAAACGAATTGATTAATGTGAAATGAAGTATATAAATTTCAGCAGTATTTATCATATTCAGGGTGGCCACATTTTTCATAATTAAAAAAAAAGAAATTCACGGTCATTTCCCGGTCATAAATTATTTTTTCCGATCATAAAGAATAACTATGAAAATAAATTATTTCATGAATAATGAAGCTAAATGCCACAAAAGAGAAGAAAAAATGTTGAATTTTGAGAAATTCGGTTTTTCGAATTTTTGATAATTTTTAATAATTTTAAATTTTTTACCAAAGGGTTGAGACTATTAAATAAGTAAAGTTTTTTTGAAGAGCCCAAAAATAATGAAGCTTAATGCCACAAAAGAGAAGAAAAAATGTTGAATTTTAGGAAATTCGGTTTTTTGAATTTTTGATAATTTTAAATTTTTTAACAAAGGTTGGAGACTATTAAATAAGTAAAGTGTTTTTGAAGAGCCCAAAAATAATGAAGCTAAATCCCATAAAAGAGAGGAAAAAATGTTGAATTTTAAGAAATTCGGATTTTTGAATTTTTGATAATTTTCGATAATTTTGGATTTTTTACCAAAGGGTGGAGACTATTAAATAAGTAAAGTATTTTCCAAAAGCACAAAAATAATGAAGCTAAATCCCATAAAAGATAGGAAAAAATATTGAATTTTAAGAAATTTGGATTTTTGAATTTTTGATAATTTTCGATAATTTTGGATTTTTTACCAAAGGGTGAAGACTATTAAATAAGTAAAGTATTTTCCAAAAGCACAAAAATAATGAAGCTAAATCCCATAAAAGAGAGGAAAAAATATTGAATTTTAAGAAATTTGGATTTTTGATAATTTTCGATAATTTTGGATTTTTTACCAAAGAGTCGAGACTATTAAATAAGTAAAATATTTTCCAAGAGCACAAAAATAGTGAAGCTAAATGCCATAAAAGAAAAGAAAAAATGTTGAATTTTAAGAAATTCGGTTTTTTGAATTTTTGGTAATTTTCGATAATTTTTGATTTTTTACCAAGGAGTCGAGACTAATTAATAAGTAAAGTGGTTTTGAAGAGCCCAAAAATAATGAAGCTAAATACAGTAAAAGGGAAGAAAAAATGGTGAATTTTGAGAAATTCGGTTTTTCGAATTTTTGATAATTTTTAATAATTTTTGATTTTTTGCTAAAGGTTGTAGACTATTTAATAAGTAAAGTGTTTTTAAAGAGCACAAAAATAGTGAAGCTAAATGCCATAAAAGAAAAGAAAAAATGTTGAATTTTAAGAAATTCAGATTGTTGGATTTTTGATAATTTTCGATAATTTTTGATTTTTTACCAAAGAGTCGAGACTATTAATTAAGTAAAGTATTTTTAAAAAGCACAAAAATAATGAAGCTAAATGCCATACAAAAGAAGAAAAAATATTGAATTTTGAGAAATTCGGTTTTTCGAATTTTCGTTAATTTTTAATAATTTTAAATTTTTTACCAAAGGGTTGAGACTACTTAATAAATAAAGTGCTTTTGAAGAGCCCAAATATAATAAATCTATAAATGCAGATTGGTAGAAACACTTTTAAACGTATTTGTAGAAACTAGTACGACAGCTAGTTATTTATAAAGATAATTGAAATAATTGAATTCTTAAGATGAATTTTATTAAAATTTCTTTTTAAATACTCTCTAAATCTGAATATGTGAAATTTCACTTATTGTACGTTATAAGTCGTCCTCTCGATCAATAAGTGCATATACACTTATAAATAAGTGAATTTTTCACTTATTCTGAGTGAAATTTCACTTATTATAAGTGTATATGCACTTATTGATCGAGAAGACGACTTATAACGTACAAATATGTGAATTTTCACATATTCAGATTTAGAGAGTAATTGAATTTTTTTGTGGAATTTTATTGAAATAGTAGACATTGAAAATAATTGAATTTTGATACATTATTGAAATTAATTAATTTTCTACGAAGAATTTTATTAAAATTATTTTGAAAAAAAATTGAATTGTTAAAAAGAACATTTCATTAAAATTATTGTGAAAATAATTTAAATTATTTTTTAAATTTAAATAAATAATTTGTAGCAAAGGTTTTTAAAGTAATAGAATTTCTTTGATGAATTTTATATAAAGTTTTTAAGAATAATTTCATTTTTCGAAAAATTCCATTAAAATTGTATAAATTAAAAATAATTGAAATTCTCCTATGAGTTTTATTATTTATGAAAATAATTGAATCTCTTTAAAAAAATTTTATTATTTATGAAAATAATTGAATTATTGCTAAGAAATTTATAAAGAATTTGTAAATAATAGAATTGCTGTGAAATTTTTATTAGGTATTTATTTCTATTTTTTCTCACAAAATTTTTTTTTCCTGGTCCAAAAAAATTCCCTGTCATTTCCCGGTTTTCCCGGTCCATTAATAACTATTTTTATTTTAAAAAAAAATTCAAATTTTGTATTTTTTTAATTTATCAGAAACGTTGCGGTATTCAGAAAATTTTTATAAATAATCTCTAATTTAGGAAAATTTTGTTTATTTGATAAACAAAGCTATATTATTGACAATTTTTTTACGATTTTTATAGTCGATTATGAAATTAGGGATTTTTATAAAAAAAAGGATTTTTTCCGAAACGGGGTTTCTTTGATTTCATTAAAATTATCTTAAAATTAACAAATTTTTTTACCTAATCTTTTGCACTTCTTTAAATTTCAGTTTCTTAATTTTCAATTTCATATTTTGAATTTTTATATTAAATTCCAATTAGAAACTAGAAATTCTAATTAGAAATGAAAAAATAAAAAAAAAAAAACGGTAAAATTCTGTTTTTTAAAAATAAAATTGTAAATCAGAAATTTTTCTACTTTTATACCTACGTAAAATTTTTACAAGTTTTTTTGAGAAACATTCCATTAGAATTATCTGAATATTTTTGAAATTATTTTATTAATTTCAATTTTTCATAATTTTCAGTCTTTTATTTACAATTTTTTTTACATTTTATATTTTATATATTTTATATCTTTTATATTAATTTAATTTACAATTTTTCATTTTTTTTATATTTGGAATTTTGATTTTTGAATTTTTGTTCTTTAATTAAATTCTACTTAGGCAACAATGGGTTCAGGAAATTTTTGATCATTATTCTCCTCTCTATATTCCTCGGGACTTTCTTCTTCCGAAATTAATTTCAAAACAAAATTCATAGTGTCAATAATTTGCGCTGCTGTATTGTAATAGTAACGATTATTAGAATCAGTATCTAAACTTTTATTATATGCTTCTTTAATCAATATCCCGTCCGGTGCGTAAAAAAGAATTCTCGGTATATACTTTCCATCGGGATAAAATTTTTTCCTATTGTTCACGATATCCTCCTTATTATTCACCTTCACCATGATGAAACTAATTACAAATAAAAGAATTTAATTTAAACTAAATCAGGGAAAAAATACTAAATTTTGTGTTTCAATAAATAAGTAAAATCGACTTTTTTTAAAATAAATTTTTTAAATAAATAAATAAAAAACAAATAAAATAAAAAATGTTATTTTTCCTAGATTATAAAATCTATAAGAACTATTAAAAAAAAGGTTATACTACAATTATTGCATTTTTTTGTTTACTTTTTACTAAGATCAATAATTCTCAATGATTTTGTAAATTTATTTTTCAATTTTCTACACGCCGGACACCATGAATTGTGAATTAAAAGAAATATCGGTTTTCTTGTTTGTTTTGCTTTTCTAAATGCATCGCGAATATCGCACCATTTATATAAACTATTGAAATCATCGGAATCACTATTGTCAACGGATTTTAAAACAGATTTTACTATTTGACTTGCAATGAACGGTAAATTTAGTGCCAAAACATTTTTAAAGGAATTTTTCATATCGCCAAAAAGGAGGAAAAGTTGGAAACTTTTTTATAGGTTAAAAAATTTTATTTACGCCATGAGAAAAAATTTTGCACCAAGAAAAAAAAGAAGAATCAAAAATATTTATCTACTTCTCAACAATAATGAATTGACTATCTTTTTTTTTTTATTTTTTACACGAGACAAAAAGACAATTGTGTCAAATTGTGAAGACATTGCGTGTCAATGATTCTCGAAAAATTATGATACGATAAGTAGTGAAATAATTTTCCTTTTTATCATAATTTGCCAAGTGGTAATTGAAGTTTCTAAGGAGGGACGGACCGTATATTATCGCAACCAAGACGAATGACCCTGACAGATTTAGAATTTTTTTCCAACAATATAAATTCCACGCAAAATAAATTATTGTTGTCAGGAAAAATTCTAATTTCTCCTCCAAAAAAATATTTAACTTCTACTTTTTTTAATTTCGAAAAATTGAACAATTAATTTGTGAACAATCTTTTCAATTATCAGCGAATGCATCACATTCAATTTCAGCTATTTACTGTGGTTCCGGTCACGATAATATTTCCACCTTGACATTAATTACAATGAATACGTCTACAAATAAACTCAAGAACGAATCGAAAACAAGAAATAAGAAAATAAAAAAGAAGAAATTTCTAATAAACAAAACCAAAAGAGAAAAGACTAATTAAAAAATTCAGGTAAAATTTTCCAATTTACAACAAAATTGATAATTTCTATTTTTTATTTTCAGGACATTTTTTTTATGAGAAGTTAATGATGCACTTAATTAAACGTAGCTCCAGAGGTACTATATAAAGTCTACGAGAAACACTTTAAGTCCATAGACGATAAAAGTGTCTCAACATGTCTCAAGTTAAGAAATTTGTCTTTTGTGTTATTCTATTTGCGATGGTAGCTAGTGTCCTTTGTCAGAATTGTAAAACACCTGGACGATATGTAAGAAACTAATTAACGTCTTACGTAACTTGGAAAAAAGAAACTATAAACAATTTTTTTTTAATCACTGAATAAATATTTACTCCATTCTAATTCTCCAATTCTCTATTCTAACTAATTAAATCATAAAACTAAAATCTAATTTTAATGATAGATAATCTAATTTGATTATAAATCCGAAAAATTTAAAATTCCTTTTAAAAAATTTTGTTTCATCTTCCATTTTATTTATTACATAATTTATATTTTCAGTGTGGAGATGATGAAAATTGCTGTGGCGGCTGCTGTAGAAATAACGTTTGCATACAGAGTGAGTAAACTTTTTTCTTTTTTGAAAAAAAGAAATTTAAATGTATTTTTATTTCAAGACCGAAGACCGAATAAACAGAAATTTTAAGATAGAGACTAAAATTTTATTTCAATATTTTTTTTTCGAAAACCGTTATGTAAGCTAGACTAAATAAAATCCGATAAATTGACTGAAGAATTTCTAAAATTGCATTTAAAGTTATTTTTAAAGCTTAGATAATTTAGTTAATATTATTTAATAACCTTATAATTATTTATTCATACTAATTTTTGTTTTTGGAAAAAAAAACTTCGATTTTTGTCCTTAGTCAATAATTTGATCAAAATCGAATGAAAAATTAATAAAAATTAAAATTTTAAACAAATAATCAATTCATTTACACACTGAGAAATACATATTATGTAATAAATTGATTAATTTAATTAATATTATTTATTAAATAAAACTTAATAAATAATAATTATTTTTAATTTATTATTAATTTAATATTTAATATCGTTGATTAATTAAAAATTAATGTTTTAATTATTTGTTTAGTATAGATTAACAATAATTAACTAATAATATTAATTACTTAATAATAATAAAATAACAAAAAAATATAATTTTCTACAAAAATAATTAGGTTTAAATTAATAAATTCCAATTCGATTGTTACTGTGAATTTTAAATATTTAGTTGATTCGTTAACTAAATTTAAAAACTTAATTTCTTTGGAAAAGTATTTTCGCAAGCAAATAAATTTTAATTTGATTTTTAAAAAAAGTTTGTCAACGATTTTCAAACAATAATATTTACTAAATTAAAAAAATAGTTATTTAATATATAAATTAAAAAATTCATTATAACTGATAGAAAAATAAAAACTCTAAATTTTGAAATTTTCAGCTACCGACTTGTGTTACAAAAAGGATTATCAATATCCTTGTTCGGAACATTTGTGTCCACCGGGCTTCACTTGCCACGTCTATCAACCTGATTGCGAAGGATGTGAACCCGAACCACAATGTGGATAATAAATAAATAACTGTTTGCTTATAATTTGTGCGCTATTAAAATATTCGATTTTAAAGAATTCATTTTTCTTTATTTAAAATCTCCAACGAAGTTTATTCCTCCTTTATGTATTCAGAGGATTTTATACTTAAATTCTAGTATAATGAGGTAAACCTCTTATTCGTGTAAATTTCCATCTTCTTTTATTTATTTTTTTTTTTTTAATAAAGAAGTGAATTTTGTATAATAATCGCAGACAATTGGTTGATATATTTATATAAATTATTGTAAAATATAAGTTGTTATAAATTATCTATTTCTCTACCTTACAGGGCACGTATCTTTTTTACCTCTTTGTAGTAAGCTTCTCTTTGAACTGAAAAATAAAAATAATTTTTCTTTAAAAAATATTTAACAAATTTCATTTTACTATATTCTTATAAAATTTTCTCAGGAATTTAATTCCATTTAATTGTTATTGTATTTAAAAATTCAAAGTATACAAAAAAAATAGAATTTAGATAATTTTGAAAAAAATAAATATTTAAATTTTATTCGTAAATATTTAGTATTAACGTAAAACTCACTCCATGGGTCGAATTTGATCATTTCAATTTTGTCATCTTCTCTAGAGCGCACAAGTACTATTCTGTGGCCACTCACCATACTTTCTATTTGAACCATAAGGAACCTGAAATAAAAAAATTAAATATTTGTATGTAGTTATAAACAAAGAGATTAACCGGTTGTAAAGACGAATCTCATTAATGGATCTGAACTATTATGATTTTAAATTCTAATTATTGTATTTTACTTATCATAAATTATTAAAATATACAAGAAAAATATTGCTCAGTGAATGAAAAATTTATTTAGATTTGAAATAATTTTTCGCAATAAATAAAATTATACTTTTCAGCATGAAACTAAAACATAACCTCAAAATGGTTGGGAATTGAATGTCATACATGTTTCAAAATAGCAAAAGAATTACCTGCTCTTCTTCTTAGCTTCGTTTAACAATAAAGATGTAAGGAGCATAATTTTAGTTTTATAATATCTTTTTCTTCAAATTAAATACACAAGAATTAACAATTGTAATTTATTTACTTTTTCGAAACAGTGTTGTTTTTTAATAGCAGAAGGAAATGAAATGTTCACTGCGACGCAGGCACGCGCAGACCGCGATTTTCGAAAATAAAAAGTATTTTAATAAAACAATATTAATCTATTTTTATTGCAATAAAAATTATTATAATATAATTTAATTAATGCTTACCAAATGGAAATGGTGAAAAATCGAAGACCACAGAGAAAATTTCTTGAATACACTTCACTTTTATTTATTTCATTTATAATTTACTATTTAATTTAAAATCATGAATTGTCATTAACACCGAAATTATTAATTAATTAATGTTTATTTAATTTATATTTACAAAAGCGTTTGTCAGATTTGAAAAATTCAATAATATTTACAATTTAATTTGCCGACTGGAAAATTTGAGGTTATGTAACTATGAACAACTTGTTATCAAAGCTCGTGCAAAGAAATAATTATACTGCGCATATATTTTTGCTATTAGTTTATAATTTGTAGAAATAAAAAATTCCTACTCAGGAATACAAAGAATGATTTAATATCAATTAAATATAATCTGTAATTAATTGTTGACAATTGACACGGTTTCCAACTCTCCGGAAATTGACTGCAATTTCCCGCGTACTTTGTAGAGAAATACTTGTTTAACAAACTAACCTCTCCAAGCAACAATGCAAATTATTAACATATAACATTGTCTACGCTAATTATTGTATTATCAAAACACCGAAAACAACAAAATAAACTGTAAATTTGCTTAAAATATTAAAAGAATAACAAATTATTCGACATTCGATTGATTTAACCAGTCATTTGTACGTATGAAACATAGCGGGAAGGAATGATGTTTTAACGCGATATTAACTAATTATATTAAGTTCCCCAAATCTGCAAACACTTGTACTAATTTATTTTTCACCTTAGATAACGAATTTCAATTAAAAATTATTACCACAACTGCGGATTATTAATTATAACTTGATTATTACAAACAATTAAACCGCGACACTAATTCTCTAGAATCCTTGTTCTCACTAATGTGAACCCCGAACGGAAGTAAACCATAATGCACTAGCGCGGGAAAATTGAACTACAATTCCATGAACTTCTGAAAACCGTGACACCCGTAATTAAAATAAGACAAATAATTTGTACGATTAGCTCAAAAAATACTAATTTTATATGCTGACTATTCTTAAAATACTGAAAAAATGTGAAAATTATGGACAATCGACTGATTCTAGTAGTTGCGACGGTTGCGACAAAAACAAGGGGACAAACTCTATAAAGTTATAATATTATTACTGGTTTTTCAAATCTACAAACACTTGTGCTAGTGTATATTTTATATTAGAATGCGAATTTTAGTTTAAAATACTTACTAACGCTTTAGAATGTTAATTTTTAATTAAATTATTACGATCTGAACAAACGCGATACTACTTTTTCCGGATCTTTGCGATCAGTAGTGTGAACCCCGTAGAACCAAATTCTCTATAATGCAAGGCGGGAAAATTCAAAAATTTCAAATTCTATGCTTAACATAAAATCTGTTATTAATAATTAAGTTTATAAATAATATTTATTAAATTAACTTTCAACTTTACTAATAATTTATTATTTTTTTAGATTTTTAAAAAATTATATTATTTTATTATTTTTTGAAAATTATTGTATTCTTTTAAATATATTTTTTTTAATTGAAATATATTTTATTTATATTTTTATATTTTATTTCTTTACTTGGGAAATTAAATTGAAAAATTCACAAAATGTACCTATTTTAATTTAAAAAAGAATTATTGAATCTAAAGAAAATATAAATCTTCTACAACGTTAAATGAAAATTATTGTTTATTGATTTCAGTGGAGGTACAAACTTTTTTTTTAAATCTATTGAAAATTCAGTCTCATTCTTAAAAAGGTAAAAATTCTAATTCAAACACATTTTCGAAGTCTTCTACAGATTAATAAAATTCATCGTTTTATATTTTAAACTGAAAAGCAATTAATTATGAGGCACACCAATAAGGCTTGTAAATTTGAAATATTTATAAAATTTCCTAAAAAAAAACTTGTTCAGTTTATCATGCAAATTATTATATTATCTCAAACGATAATACGTTAATTTCAATTAGTTTAGAAAAAATTCTGTAGAATAATTGACTGATAAATTATTTGTTGTTTTTTTTAAGAAGAAAAAGAGACTTAATAATGTTTTCTCTATTATCAAGTTTTCAATTTGTCATTAGCTACGCTCTCCAATTTTTTAATGACTTTAGCCAAATCAATATCTTTCACGAGCTTTAAATAATCGATCATTCTCACGTTTCGAATATTTGCAAATGCTGGCGCAACAGTACACAAAAGACGTATGTGCTCTTCCAATTCGGTTTGTGTTAATTTCATTCTATAGGAATTGTCCAATTTTTGTAGAGTGAATTCTAATGTTAAAACACTTTTCTTTTCAGCTACAAATATATTACGGAGAATTCTAGCAATTTCAGGTAATCTCAAATGCATCGCTGCTGCTTTATCCGCGGCCGGCGACCTTGTCATTGCTTCTAACGCTTTTGCAGCTTGTTTTGCACGAACCTGCAAAAAAATACAAATTTAATTAATTAGTTATTTAAGTAAAATCAAATAATTTCACAAATGCGAGGAAGTTGATTATAAAATAACAAAACTCTAAAAAGTGCTCTTTTTTAAATTATTTTTTTTTAATTTTAATTTTATAATTATTTGTTTTAATTGAATTAAGATTGAAAAATAATTTTAATTCAAATATTTACTTATTATGTATATATTGAAAAATTAACTTACCCTTTCGAGGAGAGCTTTTGGAATTCCTTTCAATGCGGGATTAATATTAGAACTACTGGAGGTTGGAGTTGTAGTTGGAGTTGTGGGTGGTGTATCCACAACCGAAATTTGCACTTTTTTAAAGCCTTCAGCATTCGTCTCACTTTGAATCACGGTATTTGATTTTTCCGTTTTAGACGGCGACGTTTGTGAATTTTTCGTCATTTTTGCATCAGCCAGTCGTTGCAGAGCTTTTTCCATTCGTGTATTGCAATTGAAGAGATTTTTAGCTTTATCTAAAAAATCAAAAACGTAATTTAAAATTTATAGGTAGAAAAGAAAAAAATCGTTAAAAATAGATTAAAAAACGATTCAAAAATAGATAGTAAATTATTAAATAATAGAAAAGAAAACTTAAAAAAAAAATAAGAAATTATTTTAAAATAAACAATAAATTAATAAAATACAAACAAATTATTTAAAAATAGACAATAAAGTATTAAATAAAAAATTATTGAAAAACAGGCAACAAAGTATTAAAAAATAGAAAAATGATAAAAAAAATATAAAACGAACGAAATGAAACTGCCAAAAATGGAAATGCAAAAATCCTACTAATTCTATCGATTCTTTCTTGCTCAGTGAGTTTGGATTCAAATCCATTTACTAAAGTTAACATTATTTTTTCTTGTTTTTTCACACTCTTCTGCCACGTTCTTCTCAATTGACAAGAGACTAATTAAATTCTACGTTTCTTTTCTCCAGACAGGAGGGAAAATTATTTGTCAATTGACATGAAGCTGAAATTAATAAGTTATTGTCACATGGCTTGGAATTTATGCGAACATTTCACTTTTGATTCAATGTTTTCATTACAAAATTTCTTATGCAATTGCAAATACAGTAAACCATGTCATATGGAATTTCTAGGTCACCTCAATTTTTCTTCTCCTCCGTCTCTCAATTTAAAAAAAAAAATAAAATTCACTTACCAAGAACATCTTTAGCAGATGAGGCCTTTTCCACATTTGGTGGTTGTGGTAATTCGGCTTTTTCTATTGCTTTGCAATTTTCAATGTCGAATTCCGGATGCCAGCGAACCAATTTATTCCTTGGTACAACCATTGGAGTTTCTAAATTTTTCAGGAACTCCTCATGTTCGTCCTTAACTTTGTCTGCGAAAGGAAATAATTTTATTAGCATTGAAACAATATTTTCTATCAGTATTCTTGTTTCTTTACTCTCTTACTAATTCTAATATTTCTTCTTCAATTTTAATTAAAGTTAATTACAAATATTTCAAATTATTAAAATTTGTACTAGCATTTTTGTAAATTTTACAATTTATTTGTTATTTGTATTATTTTAAATGTTTAATTGCTATTAAGATGAATTGTAGAAAATATTTACCCAGTAGAATATTGTAGAATTTTCTACGTCTCTCCAGTAGAACACCTGGACTCATACTGACTTCCGAACCGGATTTAAGAACATTATCAGCGTCTGGAGTGTTTCTTCCATTTCGAGATTCAACTAATGGGGTTAATACAAGATCATAAGTTGGCACTTTCGTCGCAGATCCAAAGTTACGAATTTTCTCTTGATTAAATTCATATGCATTGGGATAAATATTTTTTATCTGCGCAATATGATCCAAATTTAAATTGCGGCGAAGTAATTCTTGAACGGCAGGTTTCAACTTTTTGAATGTTATCTTCTCATTTCGATTGAACAGCATAGCTGTAACCTAAAAAAAGGAAAGAGAATTTAATATTAGATAGAAATATTCTTCATAAAATTCAATTAGGTACTTTAAAAATTTTCAAAAAAAATTATTAAAACAAACTCCTCTATTTTCAAGAATATTGAAATAAATTCTTAAAAACAATTCAATAATTTTAAAGAATTTTAATAAAAATCTTGCTAAGAATTAAATTATTTTCAATACAATTTTAAATATATTTTTTTTATGAAAGAATTCAATTATGGAAAAAAATGATGATAAAATTTTTGTACTTTCGTATTTTTCAATTTTTTGAAAAAAGGATGAAAAATACTCACCGTATCAATGCATCGGAAAACTTCTGCGAGGAATCTGTAATTATAAGGCAGTGCCAAAGCGGGAGTTGCACTTTCGGCTAATGATTGATATCTCTGATAAGCGGGTCCCTTGGTTGGACTTCCCTTAACAGGACTTGATGTCGGTTCCTTTGGTTCAAAAAGTAAACGACGTTGGGGACTGGCATTTTTCAGCAACTGTATATTCTTCACAGGACTCAATAGAAGTTTACTCGGTGACCTTGCTGCTTTCGAGGGACTAGAAAAAGAAAATTTATCATTAAATCTATCATTGAAAATAAATAACTAGTGAATAATAGAAAAAAAATGATTTACCTAACAGGAATCTCCAGTTGAATTTTATCGAATCTTTGAATCTGGGGCTTATGATCTGGCAATTGTTTCCTTTCATTTTGCGCCTGCAATTGAGTCAATTTTTCATCGCAATTACGTATTTTATTAATTCTCTCCTTAATTTCAGCGAGTCTTGATGATTGATTAATTCTGTTCTTAATCTCAACGAAACTTAAATCAGTTTTTTCAATTCTTGCCGCTTTTTTCGGAGTAACAGAACCAGCAGCTGGTGCTTCGTCCTGTTCATTTTTCTTCGGTGTCCTGAGATTTCTCGACGAGCTCGAACGCTTCTTGGGACTCAATAAACCCTTCTTTTCGAAAACCACATTTTTATTCGAACTCGTACCATCGATTTTCTTCAAAGATTCACGAATATCAACTTGACCTTCCTCACTCGAAAGTTTTCGTGATCTTGAACGCGTTCTTGTATTCATTCTCGGCGTTTTTGGCGTACCAGGTTTTTGTAGATCGAAAATAATATTTCTAACTGCTGAATTATTTGATTTGACCGAAGGTGACTCGACATCGGTATTTTTATATAAACTCTCATTGGAACATTCTTCTGGCACAATTGTAAGCGAAGTCGATGTTTCTCTATGTGAATCGTAGGATATACTTGAATTTCTTGTTTCCTGATCCAAACATAAAACTTTTGATTTATTACGTATCTCCTCGGAGGCAGCTCGTTTCCTCGTGGTGAAATACGCCGCCACTGAAGGCTGCGACATTTTTTATATACGTGTATATAACAATATCGCAGATTATTTTTTTTAAATGTTGCGAGATCACTGTTCTTTAACAGAAGCTAAAAGTAAAAAAAAAATAAAGTAATGTAAACCAATATGCAATGCAGGTCAGGTGACGAAGAACAAACCCCACTAAATTTCAACAACTCCGTTTACACACGTCCACGCGTCTTCTACTCTAATTTAGCGCGAAAATACTCGGGAAATGATGTCAGCAACACACATCAGCTGAATCGACAAGAATTAAAATTGTGTAAACAATGCTGAACACGAGAATTAATTGCACAATCACAACTATTACATCAATTAAAATTATTTTACTGACGTAAGATTTACTTGTACTTGTAAATCTATATTTTTCACTAATTAAAAAACTTATAAAAATAAGAATTTATAAAATATACAAAAGTTTGCTTGGTTTGCTTCGTTTGCTTCTACACCTAACCTGTATGTTTGTAACGGTCGTTTGACATAACCTGACCTGAAACTTAAGTTCAGTTCACAAAGCCAAAAAATAAAGTACAATTCACACTTGCTATTTTAGTCCAAACATTTTGAATTCAGAAAAAGCGCGCTTTTTTAAATATTCTTTCCTTTTTCCATAAAAAACAAAACTAAAAAATAATCTAATTAATGATTAGTAAAAAAAATTTACATAACAAATATTTTTATTAATTAATGATATTCACTGTGAATGTAAATTCGTTTATTTAAAAAAATAAAAATATATTCCTTTTCCTTATATTTCAGAGATAAAAATTGTGATTATTATAATCAGGGGAATTATCTTTACGCTTGTAGAAATTATTCTTGGAGTGTAGAATAAATTTTAATGAATTTTAGCGAGACACCCAGTGCCCGAGAGGAAGTTTCAGTTTATACGCACCTGGTTTGAGGATAAGCAAAATTGATGATGCGCTCAATGCGATGAGACATCACCAAGTCCCTGTGGCGCAGAGGATAGCGCGTTGGACTTCTAATCCAAAGGTCGTGGGTTCGATCCCCACCAGGGATGACAAAAGCGGGTGACCGTTCTTATTTTTTGTCTTCAATACGCTGAATATGTTAATTAAACTCCTGGACACCTCTTTAACAATAAATCGAAACGAAATTCCTCTTGACGAATACTGAAAATTATTTACTCATAAATATATAATTTATATTTATTGGAATTTTTTTATATATCAAAATAATTATATAATTATACTTACCATATAATTTAAAACTGTTTGGAATTTATTTTAGTAATTTCTTTTCGACAAATACGAATCTTCGTTTTTGAATTTAGAAAAGTAACTTTTCTTCGCAGAGAAATTAATTTTTCTTTGCGAAACAATTTTCAAAGTATTTATCAATATGTTTATACAAATGGAGACGATAATTAGAAATATAATGTCCCTCATCAATATACTGATGATGTTTAAATAGAATTCCATTGTCAGCTAAAGCAATTAGAAAGTTATGCACGTGATATTTGAGAATTTCTTGATCCATTGTTGCACTGTAAATAATAAAGTTCTTATCCCTTAGACCAGAAATTCTCGATGACAAGTTGGCTTTTTCGTAACTGCTTTTTGTGATATTATTATATTTGCCACCAAACATCTGGAAAGAGAAAAATATTTTAATTTTCAAGTTAAGAAATTAAATAATATTTCTGTAACAGAATTTTTTAATAGTTGTCTAATTTAGAAAGAATAATAAATTTCAGAATTGAATGAATTGAACCTTAATTGCAAAATCGTGAGAATAATGTTGCCAAGTAGTGATAGGCGAAACCGCTGCACAGCATTTAAATAAATTATTTCCATCCATGGCCATTATATTAAGTGCAGTGTATCCACCGAAAACCTCTCCATAAACCGCAATCTGATCTGGATCAATGCAATTAAACTTTTCCAAAATATGATTTATCACAAAAATTTGATCCTCAATTTCTAAGGTGCCTATTTCCCTCCAAATTGAATTCGAAGTTTCCAAATTTTTATAACCACTTCCACTTACATCTGCCTATGAATTTAAAATAAATTATGATTCAAAAAGTTTTGAACTTTCAAATGAATGAAATATTTTTTAAATTGTTTTATTAAAAATATTTTAATAAATTACTTATTACAATAAAAATTAGAAAACTGAAATTTTATAATTAATTTTTTCGACTGTGACTCAAAATTATTGTAATAAAAATTCAATTTGAAGAAGAAATAAATAAATTTCGTTCTTTTGAACGTTCTAAACTTTAGGATCATAATTAATACATTATTTTATTTTTTTATTATTAAAAATAAAATATAAGATTAAAAAATTGCAAAAAATTTTACCTCAACAACTATAAAATTTTTGTTTAATATTAATTCCCAAAGCCAGGATATTTGATATTTAGAGGTAACAATTTGTCCTTCTGGTGTTCCGTCCACGTGTAGAAGAAGTTTATATTTCTTCGGACAATTTTTAATTGATGGATGCCAATCTAGTGGTGAATAAATTCTCACTCGTCCAATGAAACCATCTTCAAGATTTAATTCAAATTCATGAACTCTTGGTGTTTTTGTCAAAGAATCCCAATTTCGAACTTCTTCATTTTCGTTTAAATTTAGTAAAACGAAATTTGTTTCCGTGTTCACTATTATTGTCCATGGTACATCTGGTCCCCTATTGGAAAAATATGCAGCATTATTATTTATTTCTATTAATTATTATATTAATTAATAGTTTAAGACGTAAACTAATAATAAATTAATAGTTTAATACATAAATTAATAAAAGTAATAATTAATAATAGTTTTTAAAATTAATTACGTTCGAGTTTATAAATTTTAATCACATGAGGAAAATTTGACTTTAACGAAAATGGTGGTTAAAATTAACAAATCGCCAGTTTCAAAAATTTAAAAAATAGAATTATAGTATTAAATAAATAATAGTATTAAAAAATAGAAAGAAATTAAAATTAAGAGCAAAATATAATTACTTGCAATTGAGAATATAATAATCACCAAGGGAAGACATTTTTACGTCGGCCCAAAGACATTGAGGATGAATTTCACTATTTTTTAAACCACCATCGCTGTTTTCCTCAGGACAAGTAAGACAAATGACAGACTCCATTGAAGACGATTCACTGAATGGATATGAAATTTTAATTTTATAAAAATTTCTGAAAAAAGAATATCAAATGATATAAATATGCTTTTTCGATTATTAACTTTTTAAATCTATTTTTTCGTTACCTTCTGGAAACATTTTTTGTCGGAGTTGCCAGAAAATAGGCAAATAAATCTCCTGTTTTCTCGTCTCGACGAACTTTTAATATTTCATTCACATAGTATTCGCTACTAATTAATGGAGTAAAATTTGTTATTGACGAATTGATATAAACATCTTGAGAATCCTCCACTACTCCATCGTTTGTTGATATTGCCATGTTAAAAGTACTGAATCCTGAAGTTTCATTATGATAAATAAATGGATGCAGAACCCATGGTTTCGAATCTAATTGTATTATTCCTGCACATAATATTCAGAAAAAGGAAAAAAAAATTATTTTACAATTAAATGTAATGTGACTAATTTTATTTAATTAATTTGTTGATTTTGTAACTAAAAGTATTTTTAAAATTGAAGAGAAAAATATAAATTATAACTTTTCTTACCAGAAGCTGGTTTAATGAAGAAACCTTTTTGTTTTGAAGAAAAATAATACGAGTTATTTTTCCCCCGAAGACCATAAAAAACTGTAGATTCATCAGGATAATGAACCGTGTATTCAATTGATTTGTACTCAGATTCATCACGATATGAAGAATAATTAATTTGATCTGCTCGTTTTCGTGTTATTCCAAAGTAAATAATTTCAGGTTTCCTTTTGAAAATTGTTAATTCAATTCTATTGTTAATTTTCAGTAATTTAAAAATTATTTTTGAATCTTACTTTGGATCGTATTCAGAATTTAAATCGTAAGAAGTTCTTGTAATCGGTCTATTATAGACAAAGGTGTTTATTTTCGGATAAAGTAAAACAGTTCCATTTTCCTTGTACAAAATGCCATCAATCATGGAATTACAACTCACGACGCTTCCATCGTGTTCGCAATAATCTTTCTCTTTTGTCGAATCAGATTTTCTTTCCTTTAAACAAGTAAAATTAAAATTAAGTTAATATTAATAATTAATAACACTTTAATAATTTATTAATTAAATTATATAATTATATAATATATAATTTATTAATTGTAATATTTTGATACTTTCAATAATGTTGAATTATCTTTTTTTAAAAATTTTAAAAAATAAAAAAAATTCTGAATATAATTTAGAAAAATCGCTACCTGACTATATTCTACTTGGCAGAATTCCCTAGTTTTATTCGAATCCGTAGAATTTAAAAAGCATTTGAAATGTTTTTCACTTCCATTATCGTTACAAGTATAAAAATACAGATGATTTTGGACAGAAAAAGAAAAATCAGATACAAAATTACCATTTTTTACAATTTTTTCCTCAATGCCGGAACTAAATTTAAATTAAAATTAAAATTTCGAAATATGCTTTGAAAATAGAATTAATTTTTCGTAATTTACAATTTTAAATTAAAGTATAACAATGAATATGGAAAAGAAATACAGAGTAGATGAGAAAATTAAAAATAGCTTACTTAAATTCTTTTATTTTTACTCGATATTTAGGAAGTTGTGTAAAAGATTTCTGAACGTCGAACAAAACAGCTGCATATAATTTATCAGGTGAAATTATTAAATGCTCATCATTAAATGGGGTGTGAAAAAAAAATTTATTTTGACTTGAAGTATCTCTAGTATTTATTCTATTTTTAATCGAAAGCTTTGAATCTTCTTTTACTAAAAAGAAATTAAAAATTAATTAATAATAATCAATTTCAATAAATATTAATATATATTAAACAATATACCATAAAAAAGACAAAAAAGGAAACAAAAAAACAAAAAGGAATAATTTCATAATTATTTATAAAAAATGATAAACATTTATTTTATAAATAATTATTTTCAAAATAACTTTTAAACCTTTTGTTGCATTTAAAATCACAATATTAAGATTTGGATCTCTATAATAAATCTCATCATTGCTTCCATCAATCCATGAAATATTTCTAAAAATAAATAATTTATTATTTATTTACTTTTAATCTAATAATAAATCATTTTGAATCTGTTTTATTTGTAAATAATCAATTGACAGTATTTCTAATTATCAAAATAATAAAAATGATCAAAACAAATTTATAGTCGAACTTGGAATTTTTATGAAGCAGTGAATTGTAATGAATTAGCGAATTAAGTGAAATTTCTTGTCCATCATTTTTTAACTTTTCCGTAATATTCGCTAATCGATTTTTAATACCATTTTTCTCAGAATTTATTTGATTCGCAAAGATAATTAAAATTGAAATCAACAACCCCGCGAAGATAGCCTAGAAATTTTGTTCAATTACCACTGTTATTAAAATTTTAATTTAGAATTAAAACTAGAATAATTTAGATTTCAAAAAACTTGAATATTAATTTTAATTTTTGTTAAATTCAATTAAAGAAAAATTAATTAAAATGAATGTAAACAATACTTAGTTTATAAATTAAGAAAGGAAAAACAATAAACATTATTTTACTCCATAAAAAGACCAAACGACGATTGGTGATAAAATTCGTCGACTTCGAATTGCGTTTTTACAAGAACATCTTTGATTTTCTGTTACATTCATTATTAATTCAATTAAAGAATTAATTTCATTAACTAAATGAAGAAATTATTTTCAGCGTTTACATTTAAAATACTTAAAAGAGAAGAACTTTTCCTAAAAAAAAAATTGCCAGAAGAAAATAATAATTGACTATCGATACAATTTAAAACTACAAAATTTGTTTTTTTATTAAAAAAAAATTCCACAGAAAATGAAAGATAATTCATTTATTAAAAATAATCTTTAATTCTTACTGATTTTTACATTTGGAAAAATAATTAAATTTAAATTAATTATTAATTAAAATAATTAAATTTAATTTAAATAATTTAATATTGTAACAAAAGATTGAAAATATTTTTTCTTAAAGGAAATCTTAAATGCTATGTATGATAAGAAATAGGTATAAAAATTACCCTTTTGAGAATTAAATATAAAATGTTGATTACGTTTTCCAAAACGTAAAGTTTAATGCATAATTATTCTATTTAGTCTTTCTTTCGAGTTCAATAATTCCTTGAGCTCTTGTTTTTGGGGTTTTCAAGTCCATTGGTATTTGGTAAATTATCGAAAATTATCCAAAGTCTTTCGAATTCTTCAGCAAACGGTTTAGCCAAATCCGGTTGATTGGTGATAATAATGTTTTCAAAGTTTCCAAAGAAACCATTTTTTGTCCAATTGGTGCTTCCAGTTATCAGAATTCGCTTGTCAATTACAGCAAATTTATGATGCATATAATAGAAAGACTGCTTAGTACGAAGGCGAATGCCTAAATATTAATTTATATCATATGTTACAAAAATACAAAATTTATAGTAAAATAATGACAAAATACAAAAAAATAAATTGCAAATTAATAATATAATACAAAAACGATAACAACGGTCAATATATTTTTCTTATCAAAATTATCGTTTTGTAACGATTTTTCTAATTTTATGTAGAAATTGTTAAAAATTACAATTTTTATTTACCCAATTTCCGCATTTTGTATATGTGTTCGGTCGACGAAGTATTGTCCGACATATCAGCGTCAGTGATTACTCGCACGGGTACATCTCTGTGAAATACTTCTATAATTGCATCAATTAGAGAAGGATGCGTTAGGAAGTAAACGCACACATCCAAAGAGTGTTTTGCGGATAAAATTGCTTTTCTCAATTCACTGAAAACAAATAGTTTCATAATTTATTTATTTAATAGACGGACCAAGTTAATTATTTAAGAGAAAAAGTTTAAAACTAAAAACCAGGGAGGTCACAAGTTTCAGTTTATCAATTTCCCTGACAGAATTCTTTTTACAGAAAAATATAAAAGTTTACGAAAAATTAGTAAAATTTACAAATTTTAATGATTTCTAAAAATTACAATTATAATCCTTCCTGAATTCAATTATTTTCTACAATTTTCAACTAAACTTCATCTCCAAATCAATTATTTAAAATAATTTTCCGAAAGTTTTTAAAATACATCGAAAAAAGTCGCAATTTTCTTAAACAGTTTTTCTTAATTACTTACTTGATAGTTCGTACCGGGCAATGAATCCTGTTGCAAGGATTCCCAAGCATTAAATGAGTTTTACACATTACAGATTCTTCAGAGGAAAATAATACCAAAGATCTTCCTTTTTTCGTTTGTTGCTCTGACTTGTTTCTATATTTTTTGTACAAACAATAAATAGTATATACCGAACACGTAACACATGTACCGCCGACTAAAAACTTTACTACCGTCATTTTAACTGTTAATAAATCAGAATAACCTGTAAAAAAGAAAAATAACTTGAAGTGCTGCTAGAGAGAGTGTTATTTATATACTTTTGCTACTTCTTTTTAGATACTGAACAACAATTTTTATAGTTATTTTCTATTTTTGTGAATTTTGTTCTTTTTGTTTACAATTCTAAAAGTGAGGTTAGAATTCTCCGACAATTGCCAAATGTTATACTAACACGTCTTTTTATTTCTTAATATAACTTTTGAAATAAAGAGAAATCGTTAGTAACTAGATCAATAAATAGTAAAATTTCTTACCCTTTTTGATATTTATTATTAAATAAAAAAACGAAATTGAAATCAATGAAATAAATTCCTTTTGATCACTTCACTAACAAAGTCCACCACTGTGCGGCGCTACTCAGCGCATGCGCTTTTAACAATAGACTAGCAGACGATAATTGATTTCGGAATGTTGTTATACCTTTGCTATCACTGTCTAAAATTTAAATTTTTTAAATAATAAATAGTGAATAAGTGATAAATTAGTTTAGAAAATTATACCTCCAACTATGGCAATGTTTGAAACATTAAGAAAAGATTACAGCGTAAGTGCATTTCATATATAAACAGGACTTAAAAAACATTTTTCGTTTTTTAGGTTATGTTGACACATTGTTTATTTTTTAATTTTATAATAAATAATTAGTGCTTTTAATATTTATTTACACTATATTTGCAAGAAAGTGCATGTATTTAAAAATGTCATAAACTTTAAAAAGATTTCATGTTCATAACTAGTCGATAATAAGCCCGAATGTTATAGATTATAACAAAACTCGCGAAACCCATTGTTTCGTTATTTTTTTTTTATTGAAAGTCTAATGGAATTAATTATTCTTTTTAGGAGCACTTGCAGCATTCCTTCAAAACCTCAGACACAGCGTCATTTGTGAAAAAATGTACAGATCATTGTATTAATGAATCAGATAGAAAATCAGCGGTTGATCAAGCACTCCGCGATACTCTATTATTAATTTTAGCCGAAAATTCATCAGGAAATGTACAAGCACTCGAGGCGTATATTACATTTTGCATTGAACTATGCCAAAGAGATTTGGCGACAGCAAGTGTTCCTGTAATGTTACTGGGCGATATATTCGATGCAATGACATTGGATCGATGTGAGAGTCTCTTTACATTCGTTGAAAATAATGTCGCCGTATGGAAAGAAGAAATGTTTTTCGGTGCTTGTAAAAATAATCTTCTACGAATGTGTAACGATCTCTTGAGAAGACTCTCACGTTCTCAACAAACTGTATTTTGCGGAAGAATATTACTTTTTCTAGCGAAATTCTTTCCATTCTCTGAACGTTCGGGATTGAATATTGTCAGTGAATTTAATTTAGAAAATCATACTGAATTTGGAACGGAAAAATCAGACGATATTTTAGATCAAATGAATGTTGACGATATGTCCGAGAGTAAAATATCAATTGACTATAATTTATATAGAAAATTTTGGGCTTTACAAGATTTTTTTCGTAATCCAAATCAATGTTATAATAAAATGCATTGGAAAGTTTTCTCAGCGGTAAGAAATTTTTTTTTATCTATTTTAATTTAATTACTTAATTAATTAAATTGAATTAATTTTAAATTCAAATTAACTCACTAATTTTCTATGATTATTTTATAGCACGCTTCAAATGTATTATCAGCGTTCTCTTCATTTAAATTAGAAGAGCAAAGAAGTTGTTTAACAACAGTGAAAGACGATTCGATAATGGAGGGAACTCACAAAGAGACGCATTATTTCGCTAAATATCTCACGAATCAAAAATTACTTGAACTTCAACTTTCTGATACTAATTTTCGAAGATACGTTCTACTTCAGTTTCTTATTTTATTCCAGTACTTGAATAGTACAGTGAAATTTAAATCGTAAGTTAATTTTCAAATAAAATCATTTATATAAAGTCCTGTAATTTATTTAAGATCATTTTAAAAATATTTTTGTTCTGAAAAAATAATAACATAAATCGAAATAAATACAAAATTGTAAAAAAATATGAAAAAAAAATTTTTAATTCAATTTTTTAAAACTAATTTCTCTAGGGAAACACACGAATTGAAAGCCTATCAGGCCGAATGGGTGAAATCGACAACGGATCAAGTTTATTCACTGTTAATTGAAACGCCACCCGATGGTCGAATATTTGCTGAAACTGTTAAACATATTTTGGCTCGTGAGGAGCATTGGAATGCTTGGAAGAATGAAGGTTGTCCGGCATTTAAAAGACCTGCGCCGGAAACAAATGAAGATGACACGAAGGAAACTAGAAAACCAAAAAGATCTCGTAGAAAAATTGGCGATTTTATCAAGGAAGCTCAACTCGTTGGAAAATATCATATGGGAAAGTGAGTAAAATTATGCTACTTCTCATAATAAAAATTAATTATAATTAAATTTTTTTTACAACTATTTTATTAATATTTCTGAAAATAATTCAATTTCTGCGAAATAATTTTATTATTTATGACTATAATTGAATTCCTGACAAAAATTTTATTAAATTTTATGAAAATAATAGAATTTCTGCTAAAAGTTTCGTTACTTATAAAAATAATTGAATTCTAGAGAAGAATTTTATAATAATTTCTAAAAATAATTGAATTTTTGGGAAGAATTTAATTAAAATTTTCAAAAATTATTGAATTCTTTCAACAATATTGAAAATAAATTAATTCCTTTGAAGAATTCTATAATTTATGAAAATAATGGAATTTTTCCGAAAATTCTCTTTCAAAGAATTTGATTAAAAGTTTTGAAAATAATTGATTTTATGCCAAGAATTTTATTACATTGTTTCAAAATAATTGAATTTTTGTGAGGAATTTTTTTATTTATAGAAACAATTCAATTCGTGCGAAGAAATTTATTAATATTTTATTAAATAATAAATAACATTTCATTATTTAACAAGTGGATTTTTTTAATGTTAAATCTGAAATCATTGAAAAATTGGAGTTGATATTTATTCAAAAATTGTATAATTTAATTGAATTTTGCGAATAATTTTTATATTTATCAATTTAATTGAATTATTTCGAGAAATTTTAATAAAATATAATTGTATTCCTCCAAATAATTGTATAATTTATGAAAATAATTCAATTCTTGCGATAAATTTTATTAAAATTCGGAAATTAATTGAATTTCTACGAAGAATTTTATTATGAAGAAAATTGAATTCTTACGAAGAATTTTATTATTCATGAAAATAATTGAATTTTTGCGACGAAATTTATTATTATTTTAGTAAATAATAAATAATACTAATAATTATTAAGTAGATTTTATAAATTTTGATTTTTGAATTATTTATTATTTATGAAAATAATTGAATTCTTGTGAAGAATTTTATTGAAATTTTTGAAAATAAATGAATTTTTGCCAAAAATTTTATTATTTATAAAGATAATTGAACTCTTGTCGAGAATTTGATAAAAATTTTTGAGAATAATTGAATTAATGCAAAAAATCTAGTTATTTATGAAAATAATTGAACTTTTGTCAAGAATTTGATTAAAATTTTCGAAAGTAATTGAATTTATACAAATATTTTATTAAATTTGTTTGAAAATAATTGAATATCTGTAAATAGTTTTGTTATTTATAAAGATACTTGAACTCTTTCAAATAATTGAATTAAATTTTTTGAAAATAATTGAATTTACGCCAAAAATTTTATTATTATTAATTAAAATAATTGAATTCTAGAAAAAAATCTAATTACATTGTTTTAAAATAATTGAATTTCTGCGAAGAATTTTGTTGTTTATGAAAATATTAACAGAAAATAAATAATAAATTAATTAATTAATTGTATTATTATAATTAGAATACTTATAATAATAATTCTTTTTTGTAACCTACTTTTAAAAATAATTCATTATTTCTTCTATTTTGTGGGCAAAAAAATTCTGTAATCTCTGGAATTATTACATAGTTGATTATTAATCTATAATATTCCTTTAAATTTTAAAGTCCCGAGTTGACAAAACTATGGAATCTGTGTCCGAATAATTTGGAAGCCTGCAAATCAAAAGAACGAGACTTTCTACCATCTTTGGAAACTTATTTCGAAGACGCAATTATCGAATTGGATCCAGCTGCAATGGTCGACGAGGAGTACAAGTAATTCAATTTTTATTCTTTTAACGATTCTTTCTAAATTTAAAATTTTCTTTACTAATTTTTTCATTTCCTTTCATTTTTATTTTCATTTCAGAAAAGTAAATGATGGTAATTTCGGTTGGAGAGCATTAAGATTATTAGCTAGACGTAGTCCACATTTTTTCGTACATGGAAATTATCCGATAAATAAACTTCCCGAATATCTGGAGACAATGATTAAGAAAATTGCAAAAGATCGACCGGTGAGTTTTAATGAATTATCAACTTGTAATTTTTTAAGTTTATATCTAAAATTCTCTTTTTATTTTTCTACTTTTAAGTCTAAATAAATTTACAAATTATATTCTTCTTTTTTCTCTTTCAGCAAACTCAAGTTGATATAAAAATCGAAGCTGATGAAACACCACCGCAGTCAGCTGATCAAGAATTCTGTGAGGATGTTTTAAAACAAGAATCTGATCAAACTGACGCTGAAACTTTAGATAAAGTTTCAAAGATAAATAAACTTACCCCGGAAATGATTGAAAAGTTGTCAGAAGCACTGAAAGGCGATTGGAAGAAGTTAGCTACCAAGTTAGGATACAAGGATAATGAGGTGGGCATATTAATTTTTTTCAAAAAACCTAGTTCCGAATTGTTTAAAATTTTCTCTTTGTTTATTGAAGGAAAATTCAATACCTAATAATTATGAATTTTACAGATTAAGTATTTTCAAGGAAAACCAACACAATTTGAACAGTGTAAAACATCACTGGAAATATGGGCCGAAGAAGTTGAGGATGCATCGACAGAAAATCTTGCTGAAATTCTTGAGGAATTAAAATTATTTGAAGCATTGGAAATATTGAAATCGTGATCGAATAAATTCCGGTAATTCCTTTAATTATTTTTTAACAATTTTTTTCGATTGAATTTTGTACAAATATTCATATAAAGAACTTTTATGAAACAATAATTGCATACCTCTTTTTTTCTATTAACGAAACGATCCATTGTCAATAGGGTTGAATCCTAGAATATTGAGAATCTATAAAATTTTAAATAATTTAGAAATTAATAAGAAACATAATTTTATTTTAAAAATAAATGAATACTTGTTAAGTTGTTTTAATATCCGAATACAAAATGTTTGCTCCATTTTTTTATTTAAAAAACAATAAAGTTTACAAATAATACAAAATTTTAAACGAAAACGTTTTTTTTTCTTCTAAACATATATAACGAAATAATTGATTCACATTTCAGCACACAATAATACATTTTCTCGTTTTTTATATATATATATATTTATAATTTCACAGGCGAAATAAATCATCGTTCTATATATGCGCAGAGATTAGAAGAAAGATTAATTCTCGTTCATAAGATAATTTTTAGTTAAATTTTGATAAAAATTTGGCAATTTCTTCTTTATGAAATTATTTTTCAAGAAGAATTTATTATTTCTGAATTTGTGTAAAATTTAATTTTCTATTTTAAATTCGACAGCAAGTCTCTTTTAATCTCTGCTCTAATTGTAATAAATTAGACTAAATATTATTGATATTAATTAATATCTCCAAGTTGTAGACATTGACTTAGATTCAGTTTACGTTCAATGTAAATCTGCGGTATGAAATTCGACGTGAATAGACATTAAATAATCTGAGAGTTTATTAGCGTTTGCATTATTTTAAAAATGCATTTTTTATAATCTCAGATGTAAACTTGACATATTATCACCTTGAGAATGGCAGTCAAAGCTGTTTTAGAATCGAAATTTAATTTTGTTTTCTCTTTCCTTTACTTGATAGTTTGTTTTCATTTCTGTAATATATTGAAACTTGCTTACTTTAATCATTTTTATTTCTTCTAAAATAAAGTAATTAAATAATAATTATAATAATAAAATAAGTAAATACTGTGTTAATAAGAATTTATTATAATAAGCTGTCAAGAATTTATCTTCTACTAAAGTTAGTATTTTAATAATTATTCATTTTAATAATTATATTATTAATAAATTATTAAAGTTCAAAATAAATTAAAAAATTAAATTTTTATAAGTAATTCTTTCATTTTTATTAGAAATTAGTCTTGGTCTTAAATTCAATCGTTAATTTTATTAATTGTGATTATGTAAAAACTTTTTTATTTACTAATTATCAAATATGAAATTATTGAAATTTTTGTTCTAATAATTCTAATAATTTTTGTGCATAGAAAAACAATTCAAGAATTTAATTTATTTAAAATTAATGGAAATTTATTAAAATAAAAATTACAATACCGAAAAAGATCATATTATAATTATAATTTATAAATAAAGTAAGCAAGTTTATAAATCTGTCGCATTTGAGTATTTTTTATTTTTGAACTTGGATAAATGGACTAGAATGCAAAAGCAAAAATAAAATTGATGACTTATATATCTAAAAGATTTGATTGAATATTATTGACAGCAATTCTCTCATATCCACACGACAAAATTTACTTTGTACTTTTTTATTTAAAAATTTCAATGACTTCAACATTTATTTTGAGGAGTTTTTTTTTCTAATCGATTTATTTGAGAATTTATTTCTGCAAAAAATTACACTGATTTAGAATTTAATGATATGATTTTTATCGTGCAGAGATGAAAAAAAGTAATTATTATAAAAATCAATTTCGTTGCAATTCAGTTTTCTTTTTTTTTTTTTTGGTAAAATTGGAAAAATCGCAGTTTAAAAGTTTAATTCTCTTTTTCTTATTCGTCGGTATTGGATACTGGTTGTTGAAATCGATGTGCCTTCTTAAATTCTAACATACACATTCATGTATTTACTAATGTAAATGCATTGATATGGATACAATCTTTTTTTAAAGTTACTTAAATTTTAGAGCTGTGTTTTTATGTTCTAGGCAGTAAATTACGACTTGTACAAGTTTATTTGTCTTAAAACTTTTTAAGATACATGATAAGTATTAGACGCGTACAATGATTTCTGAAATATGACACGATTCAAATTTTACCAACAAATATGATCCTTACTTTTGAAAAAAAAAATTATCTTAAATATAAAAGAAAAATAATTTCTTTAATTTTCGAAATTGAATTTTTTATTATTTATTTTATTGATTTTTGAAAAAATTATCCTAAAAATAAAAGTAAAACAATTTCTTCCTTTCTCATCGAAATTGAATTTTTTTATATCCTAAAGACAATTCATAAACTAATTTTCACAATTTTTTTTTCAAAAAAATTATTTTAGCAAAAAAAGAATAGAAAATTTTTTTTAATTATATCTATTAAAATTTATAAAACGAATAACAAATACAAAAATAAGGATCATCATCGCAATAAATCAGTCTTTTACGATAAAATTGAAGTATTAAATAGCTCAATTTTTTTCTTCTCGTAAGAAATCCGATTATGAAAATTAAAAGTTTTAAAAAAAAAAATTAATTAGCTGAAAATTGTATAATAGTATTGGATTTTTTTTATCTCGATCGCTTCTCAAGACAGTTTTTTTTGCACTATAGAGAAACTGATCTCGAAACTTTAATATGAGATGACTCATAACTTTTTTCATAAAAATTTGAAAAAAAACTTTTTCTCCTTTGAAATCCAGAACTGAGTCTTCAATTAATAGAAATCAGTGAATACTGCATTGATTTTCTTTCACCGGAGGCGGAAAATTACAAAAACAGTATAAAAAAAATGTTCTCTTTTGTAATTACTATACGTAAATTTTGTATAAAAAAAGCATAAAAAACTCTGCTGAAAAAAAATTCGATTCTAAAATAATAAATTAAAATATATTCAAGTTTTGAAAATATTAAATTTAAATTGAAATTTAATTTAAATAAATTAAATTTAAATTAAATTTCTAGATTAATTGGAAATAATTTTAATTTGAAAATAGTTTTTGAATAATAAATATTAAATGAAATATTAAATGTTGTAAATATTAAATTGTTAAATATTAAATATTATTAATATTAAATTGTTTAATTGTTTGTAAATATTAAATTGAAATTGAAATTGAAATTAAATTGAAATTAGATTTAAATTAAGTTTAGATAAATTAAATTTAAATTAAATTTCTAGATTAATTGGAAATAATTTTAATTTGAAAATAGTTTTCGAATAATAAATTGAAATATATTTAATTTCGAGTTATTATATTATAGAATAAATTAAATCACTAATTAAAGTAATCTAAGATATAAATAATAATTTGAAAATATTCTTAAATAAACTCTTTAAATAATCTGCTAGTATTAAAGCATTTTATAATAAAAAGTAAATATTAGGGTTTAATTAAAAAATTAATAATTAATAAATAAATAAATCTGTATAAATAATATTAAAATTCTCTTTTCTGGATACTTTTTTAAAACTGAAATACTTTAATTTAAATAAAATATCTCTAATGAAAAATGATTATGAGATGATTGAAAAAATAGGGAAAAAAATTAAAAGCATGATGTATGAAGTGTCCACACCATAAGACGACATTTACCTGATTTTTAATGATGCTGCGATCGCTTATATAGATATGTATCAGTCAAAGATATGCATCGACGGGATCAAATTTGTCGTCTGTGATTATACTTCGACTTCTTTTGTTTCTTTTTTGGCTTGTTATGTACAAAGAGTTTTCATCATTTTTTTTTGTTCTCTTTCTCTCTTTACGTATATTAGGTAAATCAATTGTTCATAACTTGCTCTAAATGTTTTTGATATTCAAATTCCGATAGTTCGTCATCATAGTCAAATTCAAAGAGATCGTCGGAACGTTTTCGTCGCCGCGCAATTTCACTGGTGACTTCTATGCAGAGCAGTGCGAATTTTTTGTCACACGAGTAACGAATTTGTTCCAGTAAACGTCCACCAGTTAATGGAGATCCAAGACCGAAACGATCGGAGCTACTCGAGTGCCAAGCGTCGCAGTAGGTGTCCATTGCACGATCACCGAGTGTATGAGAACCGTGCCAAGTCACTTTGTCCGGCCTGAAATTTAAAAGAAAAAAAGGATAAAAGAAAATATAAAATATATTAAAATATAAGAATTAAAAAAAAAGAGAAAAAAAAATAAACTTTCTTGTCAAGTTGAAATTTACATCAAGTTATTTAAATTTACGGACCAAAAAAAAGAATCAAAGAAACGAAGATAAATTATAAACAATTTCAAAATAATGTTAGAAATTACCAGGCGAAATCGGTGAGAATATTTTTTCCATTGAAGCTGTAAATTCGTGGATTCTGGGAGAAATAGGCTCCATTTCCGTTAAACATTTCCTTCCATGAGTTGAAAAGAACGTCTCCCTGAAATTTTATTTTATTTGTTACATTCATGATAAAAATAATTATTTCTATATTATTGTAATTTTTAATTTTTCTTACTCTAATGATTAATTATGATTAGATTTTGATTAATAATTACTAGCTAATATTAGGCACGAAACACTGTATTTAATTTATTATTTCATTATTATTATTATGTAAATTTCAAATTTTTTTATTTTCAAATATCAACTTCAATTTTTTAATGGTTTCAAATTAAAAAATCAAAATTTAATAAAATTCAGTTATTTTTCAAAATTTGAATTAAATTCGTCGCAAGAATTCAATTATTTTCATAAATTATACAATTAATTTAGAGAAATTCCATTATTTTTAAAACGATTTTAATAAAATTCTTTGCAAAAATTCAATCTTTTTAGAAATAATAGAATTAATTGACAAATTCAAATATTTTCATAAATAATAAAATTCTACTGCGGAATTTAATTATTTTCAATAAGATTTTAATAAAATTCTTTGCAAGAATTCAATCTTTTAAAATTAATGGAATTAATCGACGAATTCAAATATTTTCATAAATAATAAAATTCTCCTGATGAATTTAATTTTTTTTAATACGATTTTTATAAAATTCATTGTAAGAATTCAATCTTTTTAGAAATTATAAAATTAATTGACAAATTCAAATATTTTCATAAATAATAAAAGTCTGCTGAGGAATTTAATTATTTTCAATATAATCTAATTAAATACGAGGAAGGAATTGAATTATTTTTAAAAATTTCAAAAAAATTCTTCAAAAACAATTTTATTATTTTAAAAAAATTTAATAAAATTCTTGATTCGATTATTTTCGATTATTTCATAAAATTCGATTATTTTCATAAATAATGAGTTCAATTATTTTCAACAGAAATTTCAAAAAATTTCTAGGTAGAAAGAATTCAATTATTTTCAAAATTTTTGATAATAATTCTTTAGAAGAATTCAATTAATTCCAGTACAATAGTAATTAAATTCCTTGTAAGTATTTAATTATTTGAAAATGTTTTTAATAAAATTGTTCTAAACATTTCAGTTCTTTTCAAAATTTTTTTAAAAATTCTCTGCAAGAATTATTAAATTATTAAAAATCTTTAAAAATAATCTTTCAAAATTAACAAAAATCCATTTTTAAACCCAAAATTATAGAAAATAATGCAATTTTTTATCATTTTTCTTTGAGAAAATATTTTTTCCAAAATTTATTCTCTGAATAAGTAAACAATGAATTTCTGCACCTAATAAATGTTCACATTTTTTTTTCCGTGACGATTAAAAATGAAGAATTTTTTTTTGTCATTTATTTCCTTATTTTTTTCAATTGTTAAACAATAAAAATATCAAAAACATTTCAGGAAGAGAATAATTGATACGAGAATATAATTGATATGCAAACAATAATGGGAAATTGAATTAAACCGTTATACAAATTAAATTTTTCACTTTAAACAAAGATATTTCAGTGGACAACGATATTAATATTGAAAGCACAAACTTTTACTAATTGAGAATAGATTTTTGTTTTTTTTTTCTGTTTTATTTATTTTTACATTTTAATGTAATTTTCCATATAAACCATATATAGAAGTAAAATGTATTTATTTGAGGACTCGTGTGTGACAATTGAGGCAGTGTTTTTAATTAGAAAAAGCCACAGGTATTTTATATTATTCAACTGTATATATATATATATATAGAATAAATCGATTCAAACTCAACGACCTGTACGCTAAAGTTTCATTTCACTAATCAAATTACGACACACCTGATGCCAGATTTATAGTCAAATGAAGTATTATTCTCTTTTCCCTCCCTTTGTTGAGGAACAAAGCAAAATCTGAATATCTCTTGTAATAATTGAATGAATAGTATCCGTATTATCAATATATTTATATATATTTAAATTTCTCTCTCAATTTATTTCATCAATATTAGTGTAATGTACCGATATAATATAATCGTGTTATACCAATTTTCAAAATTAAAAAAGCTATTCAAGTGATTTTAGAATGAAATTGTTTTTCTGCATAATGTACAGAGAAAAATTTTTAATTTTTATTCTTAAAGCGGTAAAATTAAATAATTTACTTCTGTATTTTTTGTATTTACTCTTTTTTTCAAATTTTTAAAAATTCGAAAATTCTAATTATTTAAGAAGAAAATAATATTTTTATTCACAAAAGGAATTTTATTTTTTAATCGATATATAAAGCGGAATAATTTATTATTACGTACCTTGATATTTACAATGGGGAGATCTCTATCGCCTAGTCTAACTATACTGTCAACATTCTGAACTCTCGAGCTAAGAAAAGCACGGAAAGTGCCTCTTAAGCCTGCTCGTTTTGCTTGTCGATAACAAGTGAAATCAGCTCCACGAACCCCATGCATATCTCCAGTAAAAGGCTCATTTAAAGCTGCCATTCGTAGCTGAAAATAAATACCACTTTTTTACAATTTAAAGCTCTACCATAATATTCTTATCTCAATTGTTCTTTTTAAATATGGAAATAAATATATATAAGTAATAAATTCAGACCTCGGATATTATCACTTTTTCGATTTTTTCCGACTATTTTCAAATAATGCGATTTTTATCCTGTTATATATTAAAAAATTGCGACTTTTTCGACTTTTCTTTCAAATTTTGCAACAAAAATCAAAATACCACATTTTTAGTATAAAATGCAATTTATTTCGATTTTTATAGTGTGAAAAGTATAACTTATAGACAAATCTTTGAAAAGTTATCTTTGAATAATTTTTCTAATTAAATTTTTCAAATATTAAAATTCAAATATAAAAATTCAAATTAAAGAGATTTTAAATAATTGAAATTTTTTAAAATTTAATTCAAAATAAATCATTTATTTTTATTACCTACAATTTTTAAAAATTAACTTTTAAAGAAATTTAATTGAAAATTTTGGAAATAATTGAATTCTCAAAAATTTTAATGAAAAATCTTCAAGTGTTTAGAATCATTTTTAACATTTTGGAGAAAATAATCAAATTGGAAATTTTTAATTAAAATTCATCAAAAAATTAATTAGTTTTTTTTAAATTATACAAAAATTCTTTTTAGAAATTAAATTAATATTCGAAAAATTACATTACAATATTTATAAGAAACTAATTCTTCGAATTGGTTTATCATAATTTTTAAGATTCAATTAACTTCGAACAAATTAAATTAAAATTTACTTTTTTAGACTTATTAAAATTCTTCAAAAATTTGATTATTTTTTTATATTTTTTAAAAACTCAATTATTTTAAAAAGATTTTATCAAATTTTAATTATTTTGCAAAAATTTTATCAAATTTCAATTATTTTTCAAAGATTTCATCAAATTTCAATTATTTCTTAAAACATTCTGCCAAATTTCAATTGAATTTTTGTATTGAAATAATTGAATTCTCGAGAGAATTTTCGTAAAATTATTAAAAATTAATATAGATAATTGATTTAGAGATGAAGTTTAGTTCAAAATTTTTAAAAATTAATAAATTTCAGAAGTTTAGATTTTTAAAATTTTATTTCCCGTGAAAAAAGCAATGTGAAGTATTTAAATATTTATTTTGCAAATTTTTCGAGGTTTGATTAATTGAATTTAGAAATCAGTGAAGAATCAAGGAAATACAAAATAAAAATTTTTGTGACAGCACTGAATTAAATAAACGACTTTTTTTCTATTTTTAATCGACAATAGCGTTTTTTTGGTCTCGTTAAAGTCGATCCGAGGCCTGTAATAATTTTAAAAATTACGCATACAATTTTTCTGTTAAATTTGAACGATCGATAATATTAAAAATATTTCATTGTTACTAAAATATAAAATAAATTAAATTAAAATTTCCTATATTGAATAAATTCTCTTTTATTCATTCCATCGATCAAATTGTCCTTTAATTATGTATTTCGCACGAATCACATTCGTTGTCAAAGTATAAAATTTAGTTAATAATTCCATCAATTCATTATAAGTGAAATATAAAATAAAATAAAATTCCAATTTCCTAAATTAAATAAATTCCCTTTTATTCATTCGATCGATCAAATTATTTATCAAATGCGCCCTTAATTATGTTTTTCATTAGTCAAAAAAATCTTACCATTCGTGGATACCACTGAGCATGTAGAAAAAGAAAAAAAGACAATCAGTTGAATTTTTTTTCTACATTTTAGTAAAATTTTCAAGATAAATTTCTGATAAATATTAACGATGGTAAAAATAGCAAATAAATTTTTAAAAGTAGGTAATGTATATAGAAACTTTGTTTCGAGGAATTTAAAATAAAGATTTTCTGTTGTTTCAATTTTCAGTATCTGTCACTGATTTAAAATACAATAAAACATTATTTGCTGTATTGACGATAAAATAGAATGAAAATAAAACTTACTCCTGTTCCGTCAGCTTTTATTGGAATTTGATTGATAAGATTTGACGCTTCAAATGGTGGATTTGCAGGTGGTGGAACGGTTGTCGGAGGTGCTGGCGTTGTGATAGGTAGAAGAGAACCAAGCTGAAAAATTTTTAAAAAAAGAAATAAAAATTTTGTGTAACATTTAAATTCTCTATCAATTGGATTTATTATTCTAAGGAAATATTTGGATTTTAATTTATAGAAAATATTCTGTTTTAAATTTAAAAAAATAAAATTTTAACTAAATTGATCAATTTGATTCGAATCAAATTAAAATTTAATAAACAACACTAAATATTTGTAGAGAAAAAATATTTTGTTCATTTGAACGTTAAAAAAATTAGGGAAATATTTTCGATATTCAAATGGAGGAAATATGTTTTATTAAAAATATTTTCACAAATTACTTATAAGAATAAAAATTGTAAATTGTAAATTGTAAATATTTGAAGAATTATGACAAATATCTTTAGTGACGCAAAATTATTGTATGTAATAAAAATTCAATTTCAGGAGGAAATAAATAAATTTCGTTCAGAACTTTAGAAGCATTTTTTCTAAAAAAAAACTATTTTTATCCTTCAATGGAAGTTCATTTTTTATTTAAAAAAAAGTTATTTTAAGCTCGATATGAATTTTTTTCAATAAAAAGAAAAAAGAACTATAAAAAAATAATTTTTATATATGTAATTTATAAAAGTTAACTCAATTTTGAACATTTTTTTCCAAAAATATCTGGAAAAATGAGCAAAAACTTTATACTTACAGCGATATATTGCCAACCACTATTCACCCTAACTAATAAAGCCTCTTCATCAATAATGTAAGCTAATGTTCCTACAGGACTAACACCAGACATCTGAAAAAGTTTTTTTTTTCAAAATTAGTCTTCAATATAAATAAATTAAAAATTATTATTGATTAAATTCAATTTACTTTTGTCATGGCTTCCGTATTTTGGAATGTCACAGCTCCCGGTACTATTTTCGTTGTGCTTTCTATTGGACCTCTTGTTGAGACCGTGCCCGTACCTAAAAGAAAAAAATTCGTCAATATTATTTGCAAAAAAATTTAATTAAATTTAAATTAAATTTTCTAAATTTCAATTTAATTGAATTAAAAAAAATTAATTTTACCAAAGAAGAAATAAATTTCCCATACCTAAATGTTCTTTTAATTCTTTGAGTTGTTTCAATTCCCTCAAAGCTTTTAATTCATCCAAACTACTTTTAAATCCTTGCAGCGTGGAATAAATAATTTTTCAATTTTTATAAATATCAAAATTAAGCAAAAACAATTTTTTTAAATATTTAAATATAGAAAGTAAAAATACTATAAATTGCAATCCTTTTAGAAAAAATAAAGGTAAGAAATAAAAGAAGAAAAAATATAATTAGCACTTTTTTAATCTCATCGAATAAAAACCTCTATAAATCTGAACTTTTAAAATATTTAAAAATAATGAAATATAAAATTTAACGAATCTTAGCGAAGCAGTGAATTTAAATTTAAATTTATTAATAATGGAGCAATTTAATTTAATAGCAGATAGGAAACGAGGTTAAATATTTTGGGATGTGGATTCATTTTCCGGTATCTGCTTTATTAAAACGTTCTATTCTATTTTCTTGAGAAAATGAAATTACAGTTTAAATAAAATGAATATATAAAAAGAATTTCTTACTTGTATCTTGTCGTGCACCATAATAATCTCGTTCAGCAAAGAAATGGCTCTTGCCTATTCCCGGCTCTCCCTTCTGACCGACAAATGAAAGACCAGGAGTACCAGGAGGACCCGGAGGTCCTGGAGGTCCTGGAACTGGAATATAATTTCCTTGGGGAGCTGGCCCCATTGGGCCAGTGGGACCAGCAGGTCCTGGCGGTCCCGGAGGACCCCTCTGCCCATCTCTACCAGATTGACCAGGAATTCCAGGAAATCCATCGTCTCCCTTCTCGCCTTTCAACTAAAAATTAAAATTTCAAAAATTAATTCTCCAAATTACAATCTATTTAAAAATATAACATAACAAGAAAAATTTAATATCTAAAAAATCGATTACTTTTTTTCTCGCTCTACTAAGCGAAAATATTTTACAAACTTGGATAGAAATAAATACAATAAATTTATTTTAAAATAATAAATCAATATTTTGTGTAATTGAGAAATAAATAGAATTTTTAATTCAACACAATTGTGAGTCTCTTTTTCTTTTTTTGTTGAAATAGTTCTTCTCGATTTATTTCTTTTCGTGCAATTATTGAACTTGAAACACCAGATAATTAAATGCCTGCGATTAATTTGCGAAGTCTCTCGGGTACTGTGTACAGGATATAGGAATGAAAAAAAAAATCTAAAAGAGTTAGCACCACTGATGTAAATGCAGTTATCGAAATTCTATTGCTCTTCTATTGTTCGCGTGTATTTTATAGAAAACTTGTTGAGATTGGAACTTTACTCACTCTTTTTTTTATTAAAAGTCAAATTGAAAACTTTATTCTTTTGAATCAGAAAATCTGCAAAATTGTTTTTTAACCAATCAATTCATTTTATTGAACTTTTATTTTTGATTTATAAATTAATAGTCTTAATTCGATCAAAGCAAAGAGTAAATAAAAGCTAAATATTATTTTTATGAAATTTATATTAATTAATATTATTGTAATAAAATTTGTTTAGGATTTCAATTATTTTCATAAATAATAAAATTCTTCGCTGCAATTCAATTATTTTCAAATAAAATTTTCGTAAACTTTCTTAAAAGAATAAAATTCTTTTTAATGAATTTTTGATTAAATTCAATTTTTTCATAAAAAATAGAATTATTCGCAAAATTCAATTATTTTCACAAATAATACAATTTTTTTATAAATAATAAAATTCTTCGCAGGAATTTTTTAATTATTTTCAAATTAAATTTTCGTAAACATTCTTTTTAATGCGTTTTTGATTAAATTCAATTATTTCCATAAAAAATTAAATTAGTCGCAAAATTCAATAATTATCACAAATAATGCCATTTTTTTTAGGAATTAAATTATTTTTTCATAAATAATAAAATTCTTCGCAGGAATTCGATTATTTTCAAATTAAATTTTCGTAAACTTTCTTCTTAAGAATTCAATTCTTTTTAATACGTTTTTGATTAAATTCAATTATTTCCATAAAAGAAATAAAATTATTCGCAAAATTGAACTATTATTACAAATAATACAATTTTTTTTAGGAATTCAATCATTTTTTCAACAAATACATTTTTGAAGATTCTCAGAATTTTTTTTAAAATTATTATAAATAATTGATTTGAAGAAGAATTTTAGTGAAAAATAAATTCTAGAAAATAATAATTGAATTGGAATGATGAAAATAATTTTGAAGAAGTTAGAGTGTTTTGAATATTCTTTAAGGTCAGAAAAAAAGTCAAAATTATGAATGGAAATCAGGGAAATTTTTTTTAATTTTTCATAAATAGTAAAATTTTTTGCAGGAATTCAATTATTTTCAAATTAAATTTTTGTAAACTTTCTTGAAAGAATTCAATTCTTTGCAATGGGTTTTGGATTAATTTCAATTTTTTACATTAAAAATAGAAGTTGCAAAATTTAATTATTTTCATAAATAATAAAATTTTTAGCGAGAATTCAATTATTTTTTCATAAATAGGTAATAAAATTTTTCGCAGGAATTCAACTATATTCAATAAAATTTTGCTAAACTTTATGGAAAGAATTTAATTTTTATTAATACGTTTTTAATTAAATTAAATTACTTCATATAAAAAATAAAATTAGTCGCAAAATTCAATTATTTTACAAAACTTTGATAAAATTCATTACAAGGATTCAGTTATTTTAAATACAATTCTATTTAAATTAATCGAAAAAATTCAATTTAAAATTTTTAACTTATAAAAATAATTTTTTTTTTACAATATTGTAGTATTTACATTGTAAAATTGTAAAAAGAGAATTTTTCTGTACTCACGCCAATAGGAACTCCATAATGACCTGGTGAAGCAGGTTCTCCTTTATCACCTTTCGGTCCCAAGGGACCTGGACTTCCTGGTATACCAGGAGTTCCTTGTCTACCCTAAAGTAGCAGAAAAATATTTTATAAACATTTTTATCCTTTAAAATCTTTTCTTGTAATATTCTATAAAATAGTATTTTCAAATATTTATTTTTTCTCTACATTTTCATTTCATTTTTTTTTTCTCAATATAACATTGATAATTTATAAATTATTTATAATTTATAAATGAAAATTTTAATATTTTATTAAAAGAAGATAATTTTATTATAGAAGAAAAAATTTAATAAAATAAATTATATTTGTGAATATTGGAGAACATGAATAATGCAGTTTTAAATTTTAAATAATTTATTAAATACGCAAAATTCGTAGCTTTTTATAAATAAATTAAAATAAATTTGAATAAATATTACATTGAAAAAGAATAACTGTATGTTACTAATTTCTTACCTTATTCTAAAGGAAAGCATTTAAAAAACGAGTCAAATGATTAGATTTTGTTACAAAAAGAAAAATGGTTCAAGTATAATAATGAAACCTCGATAAATCGTTTGAAAAATACAATTCGGTTATTTAGAATTAAAAAATTAAATTAAAAATGAAAGATAAAATTTTTCGGAAAGAAAACATTCACGTAGAAAAAAACTCTTGAAACAGTAGAGAAAGGAGTAAAGATTTCCTTCAATTTATCGAGATTGCTTTTTATTCATTAATTATTAGGATTTATTTATCAAAAATTAATTTAATTTAATTGAAGGTGTTACTTAATTTAATTCAATTTAAAATGATTGTTAATTAATTTCATTCAATTTAAAGTGATTGTTAATTAATGTAATTCAATTGAATTCTAAATTAATTTCCGTTGAGTGTGAAATAAATTGTTTGTATAAAATTAGTAATTAATTATTAATATAGCTTATTTATTAAAATTACCATGTGACCCGGTAGACCGATGTCACCGATAATTCCAGGCTTTCCCGGAGGTCCCGCTAAACCCGGCGGTCCTTGACTTCCAGGCTTTCCCCTCCTTCCTTTTTTACCTTCGGAGCCTTTTTCACCTTTAATTGTAATATAATCACCAGAGCCAGCAATTGTCGTTGGACCTGGTGGACCTCTCTCGCCCCTATCACCTTTCGATCCCGGAATCCCGAATGAACCAGGAATTCCATCCTTTCCCGGTTCGCCCTTTTCGCCCTGGGGTCCTTGAACTCCATTCACTCCTGGAATTCCAGAAGGTCCGAAATCTCCTTTATCACCTTTCTCACCCTTCAATCCAATTTCACCTTTGTAACCAAAACTTCCTATCTCTCCTTTCTCTCCTTTGACACCAGCAGCTGTTTGATAAAAAAAAAGAAATTCATTCATTAGTTTCATGTTTTTTTCACCCCCCCCCCCATTCTCTCTCGATGTGGGGAAAATGGTCGTTCTCTATATATTTAAATTGAATTTTGTTTTTATTGTACAAACATGACTAATGGCCAGTTAAATGTTACGCTTCTGATGAGATAAATCTATATTTGTATATACCTGACAAGCACCAGTCATCAGATAATTATTGGTCTTGCAGTTTAATTTATCCGTTGATTTCTCTTTTAAGGCAAATATTTAAATGGAAACAATAATTGAAGCAATTAATTCTATTTGATGAATTTAATATTTGATTCTCATATATTTACTTATTCGCTTTTTATAACGAAGTCCTCTCTTCTATTTCATTTCGTTTAAAAGCAAAATTTTTTTCTATTATTTATTCTTTCAAATCCAATTTTTATTTTTATCATTTCTTTTTATATTTATTCTGTAATTTCAATAATTTTGTTAATTCCAAATTCTGTTTGTTTTCGTTATAATTTTATTTTAATTCCTCAAAAGAATATTATTTTCACAAAATTGAACTTCTTGAATTATTTTCAAATATTTACAAAAATTTTAATGAAATTCATCGCAAGCTTTTGAATTATTTTCACTAATAATAATATTCTTTGCGAGAATTCAATTTTTTTTTTAATAAAAAATAATTAAATTACTAGCAAGAATTTATTTTCATAAATAATAAAATTCCTCGAAAGAATGTGAGTGTTTTCAAAAATTTGAAAACACAATTTTTCACGAGAATTTAATTATTTTTATATAAATAATAAAAATCCTTCTAAAGAATTTAATTATTTTCATGAATAGTAATATTTTTCACCGAAATTTAATATTTTTTAATACAATTTTAATAACTTATTTGACATAAAATTTTAATAAAATATGTCGAAAGAATATTATTTTGTGAAGGAATAAAGTTCTTCTCAAGAATTAAATTATTTTCATAAATCTCTCTACTTTACAGAAAGAATATTAACATATTTTCATTATCCTGCTAATATTAAATTAAATTAAATTTTCACTTAGAATTTTTCTATCATACATTTCATATTTAAAAACAATTTTTTTAAGTGGAAAACTATAATTCTTAAAATTTATAAATTATTTTAATGAAAGTTGCCAAAATTTAGAATTGTTTCAATTTATAAATGTTATTTTCAAGAAATAAATAAGCTCAACTTTCTCAAAAAAATTTTACTTACAACTTTTCATTAACTCGCAGTTATTCAATTATGTTATTTACAAATTCAATCAAATTTCTCAAAATATTATTATTTTAACAAATTTTAGAAAATTCTTAAAGTTATTTTCAATTATTTTCACAAATAATAAAATTCTTCGGAGGAATTCAATTATTTTAATAAATAATAAAATTTTTCGGTGGAATTTAATTATTTTAATAATTAATAAATTTTTTCGGAGGAATTGAATTATTATTTTAATAAATACTACATTTTTTTTGAGGAATTCAATTATTTTAATAAATAATACAATTTTTTGAAGGAATTCAATTATTTTCAAAAATTGTAATCAAATTCTCGGTAAGAGTTCAATTATCTTTATAAATAATAAAATTCTTCGCAGAAATTTATTTATTTTCATAAAGAACCAAATTCTTTGCAGAAATTCAAATACTTTGCAAATTTTAATAAAAATTTGTCGCACGAATTCAATTATTTTTATAAATAATAAAATTCCTCACAAAAATTCAAATATTTTGAAACAATGTAATAAAATTCTTGGCATAAAATCAATTATTTTCAAAACATTTAATTAAATTCTTCGAAAGAGTTTAATTATCTTTCTTAATAATAAAATTCTTCGCAGAAATTTATTTTATTATTATTTTTATTTTTTTTATTATGTTATTTTTTTTATTTTATTTTATTTATTTATTTTTTTTTATTTTTAGAAATTATTTTCTGGAGTTCAACTATTTTTAATATTCTCAAAAGAATTAAGTTATTTTTGGAAATTTTAATGAATGTTTTCCTAAAAAATTTCATTATTTTCATAAATTATAGAATTCTTCGCAGGAATTCATTTATTTTCAATATTCTCGAAAGAATTCAATAATTTTTGAAAATTTTAATTAAATTCTTCCTAAAAATTCATTTATTTTCAGGAGATATGTATTACACGATAAAATTGTTCTCTAGGATTCAATTATTTTTATAAAGAACAAAACATTAAAGCAGAAATTCAATTATTTTAAAAAAATTTAAGAAAATTTTTGGCAAGAATTCAATTATTCTTATAAATAATAAAATCCTTTGCATACATTTAATTATTTTAATAAATAATACAATTTTTTTGGAGGAATTCAATTATTTTAACAAACAATAGAATTTTTCAGAAGAAATTAATTATTTTAATAAATAATAAATTTTTGCGGTTAATAGAATTCTTCGCAGAAATTCAATTATTTTCATATAAATAGTAAAATTCTTCACAGGAATTCAATTATTTTCTAAATTTAATTATTCAAGACTTATATGATATTTGTGAAAGTAATGTTTAAATACTGTCATTATTTTTTTTACAGAAATTAACATTTTCAATAATTTCAATGTAAAACCTTTGGAAATTTAATTATTTCTGACAATTACAACTGAAATTCTAATTAATTCTAGTTTTTTATCGACACTTAAAATTTTAATAGTTTTAAATTTGAATCAACTAAAGTTTTATTTAATTAGAATAATTCGGAATAATAAAGTTAAATTTAATAACAAAATTTGTATTAAAAAAAGAAAGTAAATTTGTGATACCTGAATTTATGATTATTTTGAAGAAAATAATTTTTTTACTTCGACTATTAACGTGTTTAACTTTAAATTCGTGAAAATTTTCGAAAAAAAAGAAAAAACTATTTTTTAGTGGCACAGATCTAAAATCTAAGGAAAATGAAATTCACGAATCTAAAAAATATTTAAAAAGTAGCAAAGTGTTAAAAAAGGGATAAATAGATTTTTTAACTTCGAAGCCCGTTTGAGGTGAACAAAAAAAAACTTGCCGGTGTCGCCAACATTAATGCCACCAATTCCAGGAGGTCCTGGTGGTCCAGCAGGGCCGATTCTTCCCTCTGGACCAGCGTCACCCTTGGTGCCTTTTTCAGCTGGTCTTCCATTTTCTCCAGGAGCTCCCGGTAATCCAGGAACACCTGGTGCACCAGGTTCGCCCTTATAGCCTTGATTTCCTTTATGTCCCTCCTTGCCATGATCGCCCTTCGAGCCCTTATGACCAACCTCACCCTTTACGCCCTTACTTCCCGAAATTCCCATTTCGCCTTTTGGTCCATAATTTCCCGGCATTCCTGGATCGCCCTTTGGTCCTGGTAATCCCGGTCTTATTGGCACAGCATCGCCCTGCAAAAAATTTTACACTTTTACTCCATTTTTCTTTACTAATGAAATTATGAAAATTTCTACTTTATTTACTCCATTTTTCTCTTTTAATCAAATTATGAAAATTTCTATACTTTTACTTCATTTTTCTTTTACGTGAATTACGAAAATTTCTGCAAAATTAAAAATCAAAAACTAAGAAATTTTATTAAAACACAAATTTATTTTATTTTATTGACACAAATAAATTTGTGTCAATAGAAATTAATGAATATTAGAAAATAAATTTCGAAATTTCTTGAGCTGCATTATTCCATAAAGCAATTTTTCCATAATTTTTGAAAGACAGAATTTTATATGTCAGCAGTTTTTTTTGACCGAAATTTCTTTTCTGCGATTTTTATTTCCTATAATATACATTTATTATTATAATGCAAATTAGAAAATTTTTTATTTTCAAATATGAATTTTGAAAATTCTTCTCATTTCAATTATTTTCATAAATAATAAAATTCTTCGTAAGCATTCAATTATTTTCATAAATATTAAAATTCATTGCAAAAATTCAATTATTTTTTTTAATAGTAAAATTTTTTGCAAAAATTCAATTATTTTTAAACAAAATTTTAATAAAATTTCAAGAATAAATCTACAATTATTTTCTAAAATTTTAATAAATCCTTCGAAACAATTCAATTATTTTTTTAATCAGTAAAAATATTATCTTTGCAACTATTCAATTATTTTAAAAAATTGTAATAAATCCTTCGAAACAATTCAATTATTTTTTTAAATAGTAAAATCTTTGCAAATATTCAATTATTTTTAAAAATTGTAATAAATCTTTCAAAACAATTCAATTATATTTATAAATATATTAAAATTCTTTGCCAAAATTCAATTATTTTTAAACAAAAATATTTTCTAAAATTTTAATAAATCCTTCGAAACAATTCAATTATTTTTTTAAATAGTAAAATCTTGGCAAAAATTCAATTATTTTCTGAAATTTTAATAAATCTGTCGAAACAATTCAATTATATTTATGAATAGTAAAATTCGTTGCAAAAATTCAATTATATTTAAAACAATTTCACGAAAAAATACAATTATTTTCTTAATTCTTTATAAAAAATTTCAATTGAATTCAATTATTTTCTAAAATTTTAATAAAATTGAATAATTAAATGTTGAATTTCAATTATTAACAAACACGATTATTTTAAAAACTTGAAAGAAGTCGCTCATAAAATTCAAATATTCTCAAAAAAATTTAAAAAAAAAAAAAAATTACCAAAAATTCTTCAAAAAGAATTTTCAAAAATTTTAACAAAATTCTTCGCGAGCATTCAATTATTTTTCTAAATATAATAAAGTTCTTCAAAGGAATTCTATTATTATCAAATATGTTGGAAAAATTCTTTACAACAATTTGATGATTTTCAATACATTAATTTTAAAATTAATCATAATTATAAATTTACATTTATAATTTTAATTTATCGAAATTTTCATTTACTAGAATTTTTATTGAACAGAATGTCATTTAGACGAATTTTTAATAGACATAAAAAATTTTAGAAAGAATTCTTTCCCAGTCAAATTTTTATTTCTCCGAATTATTATTTAACAGAAGTTCTATTTGAGCAATTTTCTATAGTATATAATAAATTTTACTTTACTATAATTTAATTGAACTAATTAACTAATTTAATTTCCATCAATTTCTGTCAAAATATACTTTTCCAAGTTTGGATTATCGGTAGAGTGAAAATTTGCTCAAATAAAAATTTGATTAAATAGAATTTCTAGCACATGAACATTCTGACAAATAATGGAAATTGTATTCAATAAAATTAATTGTATTAAATTAATATTGTCCAATTAAATTCTAATAAAGTGAAATTCTATAGCAAATGAAAATTTTGTTAAATTAAAATTTGAACGTAATTTAAATTCAATGAAAATAAAATTTTGATTAATGAAAAAATTTTCTAGTATGGAAATTCGTTTAAATGAAAATTGAAAATAAATTGTAAATAAATTGTAAATAAAAATTGTCAGCAAAGAAATTTCGCCATAAAGAAAAACTTTCGAAATGTAAAATTCTGTCTTTGAAAAATTATAGACAAAAATTGCTTTATGAAATAATAATTTCTTTTCAAGTCGACTAATAATAATTTGCTATTTTCTAAATAATAATAATAAGAATAATAAATAATGAAATTGATAGTTCTTTTGAAACACTCACCCCCCTGTATACACTGCGAGATTTCCAATCAGGCTGCTTGCACATAATAGTGAAAATTGGCAGTGTTTAATTATTATTGAATTTGAAATGTGGGGCCAAAAGGGAGATGAATTTTGAAATGTAACTTGTCGATCTAGTTTTGGTAAAACTAGGTCTGTACAATTACTCGTTTATATACATATATAGAGGAATAACTTGAGGACTTTCTCTCAATTGCTGATTGCAATAGTTGGTTGAATTTGGATGGAAAAGCGGGAATATGAGGGAAATTAAGCTTATTGGTTCTATTAAAGTCTCTTGAATCTATACAATGATACTTTATGGAATCACGTATATAACAAGCCTGTATTATCTTGAATCATGAAACCTATGTAATTGCACATAGTACAATTCCTTATCGTCGTTCCTTCGCCTCAAACCGAGCTTCAAACAATGTTTGCATCTTGATTGTCGGAAAGCGTCTCACGTTGCTTTATTGTTATTTATGGCTTGTTTATGTAATTCATTTATTAAACGAAATGTCAATAATTCATTAAGCAATGGGTAAATGTTTATTCAAAAAAAAATTAATTTATTTTATTCTATTATTTATTTAATTAATTAAATTTAAATTTAATTAATTAAATTTAAAACTAAATTCTATTGAATAATAATTTTCAGCAATTACATGCGGATAATCATATTTATTTAAATTTAAATTAAAAGAATTGATTTTAAACAAAATTAATTAAATTTAAATTTATTCTATTATTTATATTCATAATAATAAGTAAATAATAAAAATTATCATAATTCTATTATTTATTTATTTATTTATTCATAATAGGGGAAAAATACCTAACTGTTCAAATGTTTTCAAAATTTGTGCAAAAAAAAAAAGAAAAAAAAAAATACTAAAAGATTACAAAAAGATAAATACAAAAATAATGAATAACAATCTTTACTTGAATTAATAACATAAATGTTACGGGCGCTATTTGATTAATTACTATGCAAATAAAAATATTTTTAATTTTCAAACATCAACTTCAATTCTTGAATAATTTCAGATTCAAAATTAAAAAAAATTTGGAAATTAATTATTAGGATTATTTATAATTTTCAAAAATTTTTAATAAAATTCTTCGCATGAGTTCAATTTTATTTTCAAAAAAAAAAAAAAAAAAAACCACCGAAAGAATATTATTATATAAAGAAATTTTCATAAAAATTGTAGTATTCAATTATTTACTAAAATTAAAATGAAATTTTTGAAAAGAATTCAATTATTTTTTCCTAAATAATTGACAAAATTCTCGACAAGATTTTAATTATTTTCAGAAATAATACAATTTTTCGCAGGAATTCAATTATTTTACAAAAATTAAAAAGAAATTCTTGAAAAGAATTCAATTATTTTCATAATAAAATTCTCGACAAGATTTTAATTATTTTCAGAAATAATACAATTTTTCGCAGGAATTCAATTATTTTACAAAAATTAAAAAGAAATTCTTAAAAAGAATTCAATTATTTTCATAATAAAATTCTTGGCAAGATTTTAATTATTTTTATAAATAATAAAATTTTTTATTTACAGGAATTCAATTATTTTTTTTTATAAATTATGATAATATTTCTCAAAAGCATTCAAATTATACGTTTTCAAATTTTCAAAAAAATATCTCCAAAGAAAGTTATTATATTTAAAAATTTTCATAAAAATTTTAGGAAACAATTCAATTATCTACAAAAATTAAAATGAAATTATTGAAAAAAATTCAATTATTTTCCTAAATAATTGCCAAAATTCTCGACAAGATTTTAATTATTTTTAGAAATAATAAAATTTTTTACAGGAATTCAATTATTTTTTATAAAATTTCTCAAAAGCATTCAAATATACTTTTTAAAATTTTCAAAAATATACCTCGAAAGAAAGTTATTATATTTGAAAATTATCATAAAAATTTTACGGAACAATTCAATTATTTACAAAAATTGAAATGAAATTCTTGAAAAGAATTCAATTAATTTTTTAAATAATAAAATTCTTTGCAAGATTTCAATTATTTTCTTAAGTAATAAAATTCTTTCCAAGATTTCAATAATTTTCATAAATAATAAAATTTTTTACTGGAATTCAATTATTTTCAAATAATTTTAATAAAATTGCTGGAAGAAATTTTATTGTTTTTAAAAAATTTAATAGAATTCTTCTAAAGAATTCAATTATTTTTTTCATACTTAAGTAATTTTATTATTAACATAAATAATCAATTCTTCGCACGAATTCAATTATTTTCAATGGATTTTTATAAAAATTATTCTTATAAATCCAATAATTATTTTCAAAAAATTATCAAGAATTGAATTATTCTCATAAATGAAAATATTCTTTATACAGGAATTTAATTATTTTCAATTTAATTATGAAAAAACCCTCGAAAGAATTTAATTAAAAAAATAAAATGTCTGTTCAATTCTTGCAAAGAATTTAATTATTTTCAAAAATTATGATAAAATTCTTTGAAAAAATTTAATTATTAATTTTATAACATTTGTAATTAAATTCCTGGAAAAAATTATTTATTTTTAAAAATTTTTAACTTATTTTTAACAAAAATGTGATCTTTAAAGAAATTACCTTATTAACGCAAAATGATGGGAAATACATTTTATTTTTCGCAAAAATTTTATCGAAAACTAATTATTCTCTAAATCTGAATTAATAAAAATTGCAACTAATTAGAGCAAAAGTGATATTAAATTTGTAAAAATTAATTTTTTTTAAGTCTACAATGAAATAAGAAATAAAAATAAATAAATTTTAGTTTTTCTTAGAAAATAAATAATATCAACTGTATTTTGCATTAGTAAAAATTAATTCTGTCAACAATAATTCATAAGTAACTATTTTTGTTCTTTAGAATTTCAAATTAAATTTACAAAATAATTTTGTTTAATTATTTTTTGTAAATATTTATTCTTCAATATTATATAAATTTAATATTCCTGAAATTAGAATATCATTAATTTTTAAACTCATAATATTTAAAAAGAAAAATTAATTAAAAGAAAAAAAATTAGGAAACAAAACAGCAAACAAAAGCAACTAACTTCAAATAGCGAACAAACATTCGAAATATAAAACAATTATAATATTAAATATAGAAGATTATATAATTTTTCCAATGACAAGAAATCCGCTTTCATTAATGCTCCATATATATTTCTTGATTACGTAATGCATTTAAATCGGACCTCGGATAAATAAAAAAAAAAAGATTTTCTATCATATTGAAAGCAAACGGATTGAAATTATTGAAAGCACCAGTAGCATTTAACTGTCGTTGCATTGAAAAAAATTCTCTCATTTTTTAGATATTTTTTTTATTAAAAAAAATATATTTCTGCTTTGACGTGATGCACTCGTCTTTATAAATATAGAAATTGTTAACAGAACTTATTAATAGAATTTATTAATATATTTGTATTAAAAATAAGAAAAGTTTTTAAATATTATCAATTTATTAAGATTTAATTTAATTGTAATCGGAAAATTTTTTTTTTTAGATAGGAATTATTAATTATATTTAAAAGCAGATTTTATTCTTATAGAATGAAAATACATTCATGTTCTTTTAAAAACTTTCAGAGAAAATTATTTTCCATCTGTTTTATTAACTCAAATTTAATTAAAATCCCGTTAAAGCTCTTGTTTAATTGAAATGCATTAACTTTGAGTTATCTTAAAACAAAATCTTCGTTAAAAATTTGTTAATATAATTCAATTAAATTACATTATTTTTAAATTCCTCTTTAATTGTAATTTCTTTCTGAAAGTAGATTTCAATATTTTAACTTTTAAAAGTTTTTTCTAAAAATAATTCTGCAATTTATAACAATTGAATAATTTATAATAATTCTATTGTTAATTTATTATGTATTATTATTTTTAAAATAAAACTGTAAGAAATATTTTTATTCATTGAAAGAACTTTCATCGGACTCGATACGATATAGTGAATTTTTCAGATAAAAAAAGAACACTATCGGATAATGTAAAATTCTGCTTTTAAAATAATTTGCACGAAATTGAATTTCGGATAATAGAAATTTACATTATTAGTCAAACCAGAAATTGGAAATTGTATTCCTGTGGGAAATCAAATTGTCTATAGAGGAATCTGTAAGGTAATACGTTGGTTTGGATGTAGACAGATGATTTGCATCAATTTAGATCAAAATCTTGCTCGACATAATCAAGAGAGATAAGAAACAAAATAATTTTTTTTTTTTATAAATTACAATTTTCCTTAATTTACAATTTAGTATAAAATTATAAATTATTTACAAAATTAAATTATTTTCTTTACATTCAATAATTAATTTCATCTTATTTTATTTCAGAGAATTAAATTTTCAATGAATACAGAAATAGATTTTCAAAGAAAAGAAAAATTTTTTTTTTCAATTATTTTTCAAAGCAGAAAAAAAAAAAAATTTTCCAAGTTTCTCAAAATACTATAAACATGAAAAATCTAATATCTAGAGGGAGAAATCTTTTATGGAGAGAATTTTCTTTAAAGAAATAATGGAACAATTTTATAAACCAAGATTCTTTCATCTCTATATTGTGAGCAGTGGCTTTGAATATTTTAATGATGAGAAGTAAAAGTCATTTATTAGAGCAAAAGAGATAGTCATCCTTTTATAAAAATATATGCAGTTTATTTTCATTCAAAAATTATTTATTTTTTTTTTCTGGTTTAAGAAAACAGGTGAGTCTGAAATATATTTATCCATTCTTCAATATATATAGAATTTCCAATAATTCGTATTGTAAATGAAGTTCAAAAATAATTACAATTATTTATTGATTCTGACATATAAATGAAACCAGAAATAATAATTATTCTATCATAAATCTGATCAGAGTAAATTTTACTTCCTATTTTGACTATTTATACAGAATGTATCTTCTTCTCTCTATTTTTAAATATATAAATTAGCAAATTAATGTTATGTGTGCGAAATGTAGAATTCAATTTTATATTGTTATGGAAATTACAAAATTTTCTATCTTCAAGTATCAATTTCAATTTTTGAATAATTAGATATTCAAAATTAATAAAATTCAGCTTTTAACAAATTAATTTCAAAAATCATAATTGTTTATTACTTTCAAAAAATATTTGAAAATTTCGTCACAAGAATTTAATTATTTTCATAAATATAATAAAAATTTTTTGCAAGAATTCAATTACTTTTATAAAGATAATAAAATTTATTGCGAGAATTCAATTATTTTGCACACAATTTTAATCAAATTTCTCAAAAAAATTTAATTATTTTCAAAAATTTTAGTGTAACTCAGCGCAAAAAGTCAATTATTATCAAAAACTTTTTAAACATTTTTTAAAAATTCAATTATTTTCAATAAAATTGTAATTCAATTCTCTGACTTAATTTAAATATTTTCGAAAATTATAATGAAATTTATTAAAGGAATTCAATTATTTTCAAAAATTTGATAAAATTTATTACGTGGTTTCAATTATTTTCGATGGAATTTTATTTAACTTCTTGGAAAGAATTCCTATCAATTTTAATCAAATTTTAATCAACTTTCTCTAAAAAATACAATTATTCAAAAAAAAATTTTAATAAAATTCTTCAAAAAATTCAAATTATTTTAATAAATAATAAAAATTCTTGTCAAGATTTTAATTATTTCAATAAATAAAAAAATTCTTCGCTAGAATTCAATTACTTTTCATGTAATAGTATTTAAAATCTACGAAAGAATTCAAATATTTTCAAAAATTTTAACGAAATTACTTCTCAATTCAATTATTTTCAAATATTTACATAAAATGCTTCTCAAGAAATCAATTACTTTTATAAATAATAAAATTCTTGGCAAAAATTTAATTCAATTATTTTCAATATTATTTTAATAAAATTTCCTAAGATAATTTAACTATTTTTTAAAAGTTTAATGACAATTTTTACAATAAGAATTTAATTATTCTCAATTCAATTTCAATAAAATTTTGCAAAACAATTTAATAATGTTCATGAAATATTTTTAAATTTTTTTGCAAATATTAAGTTACATTAAATAAGATTTTTCTTTTCATTTCTTAAAAGCAGTTTTATTATTTTTAAATATTTTAGGTACTAAATTCACTTTTTTAATACAATTTTAATTAAATTAGCCGAAGGAATTCATTTATTTTCAAATATATTCAATTATTTTCATAAATAATAAAATTCTTTCCAGGAATAAAATTTTTCATTTTAATTTTAATTAAATTTGCCCAAAGAATTGATTCATTTTCAAATATTTTCATATAACTGTGAAGAAAAAAAAATTATTTTCAAAAATTTTCTCTAAATTTCTTCGCAAGAATTCAGTTATATTTTTAATACAATTTTATTAAAATTTCTCGAAAGAATTCAATTGTTTTTTAAGAATTTTAATAAAATTCTTTGCTGATATTTAATTATTTTCATAAATATTAAAATTTTTCCCAGGAATTAAATTTTTTAATACAATTTTAATTAAATTTGACCAAAGAATTGGTTTTTTCTCAAATATATTCAATTATTTTCATAAATAATTAAATTCTTCCCAGGAATTAAATTTTTCAATGTACAATTTTAATTAAATTTGCCAAAAGAATTGATTCATTTTCAAACATTTAAATATAAGGAAATATGTAATTATTTTCATAAATTTTCTATAAATTTCTTCACAAGAATTCAGTTATATTTTTAATAGAATTTTATTCAAATTTCTCGGAAGAATTCATGTGTTTTTTTTACAATATTAATAAAATTCTCCGAAGAAATTCAATTACGTTTTTAAAATTTTAATAAAATCCTTCATTAAAATTAATTTTTTTAAATTTAATTCGTCGAAAGAATTTAATTGTTTAAATAAATTTCAACGTAATTTATCGAAAAAATTCAATTATTTTCAAGAATTGAAATAAAATTTAATGCTAAAATAAAATTATTTTATTTTTTTTTTAACTTTAGCATTATAAGCGAGAATCGAGAAATATTGAAAAAATATTTAATTTCAATAGAAGTGAAAAGATTTCCTGTAATTGTAAAAAAAAAAATAATTTTTTTTTCGTGTCTTAATTTATTAATTTATTATTCGTGTTTTTTCGCTCTTTTAGAATCGGAAGATAAAAATAAATCGAGAAAGGATTTTTTTCTGAGGGTTCTCTTGATTGTTTTTTCTTTTTAGATGAGAGAGAGAAAGAGAGGGAGAGAGGGAAGTCATTTCCTTGCTAACGAGCATTGCTCCTTGCTTTCATTTTCGTATACACGTTTATTCCATTTGGATGTACATTTCAAGTGTACACATAGCGTGCACATTTTCTTAGCAGATGGTCCCATGAACGTGACTTAGAATCTTGTATTACCAGAAAACAAGGATTGTAAAGAGAATAAGGGGGAAATACGCATAGGAAATGTTGGGAAGCAAGAGAAGGAAAGAGAGAAAATGTGGGGCTGAAGATCGGAAAATAGGAAGGTTGCAAAGTCCGACCTGTTCGCGCAATACGAATACGGTTATCTATTCCCAAAGGAGCAATAAGCGTTACACACTATACTATTCAGCGTATTTCACGTCTAGTATGGGGAAGAAAGAGAAATTACTCGCGATAAAGATCCTGAATTCCAAATTGAAGTTGGAGATAAAATTAATATTCCTCTCTTATATCCCTTCAATTTCAACCATTTATTCTCCTTTTTATATTTTCCTCTTTCCCACCCCAAAAAAATCCCTATTTCTTCTATTAAATATTTATCACAAAATTTCTCTCTTCCAAAAAAAGAAAAAACAAATTTTTTCCCAATTTTCAAAACTTAAATAGACTTTAAAAAATTCAAACTTCAAAATTGTAAATTTTAGAATTATAGAATGAAGTTCAAAAAATGATTACAATTATTTATTGATTCTGACATATAAATGAAACCAGAAATAATTATTTTATCGGAAATCTGATCAAAGTAAATTTTACTTCCTTTTTTGTATATTTCAACAGAATGTATCTTCTTCTCTTTATCTTTAAATATATTAACTAGCAAATTAATGTTATGCGTGCGAAATGCAGAATTCATTTTTTTATTGATATGGAAATTAGAAAATTTTTTATCTTCAAGTATCAATTATCAATTTTTGAATAATTTGTTTATTACTTTCAAAAAATATTAAAAATTTTCATCACAAGAATTCAATTATTTTCGTAAATAATAAAATCCTTTGCTAGAATTCAATTATTTTTATAAATAATAAAATTTATCGCAAGAATTCAATTAGTTTCATAAATAATAAAATTCTTCGCATGAATTCAATTATTTTCCACATAATTTTAATGAAATTTCTCGTAATAATTCAATTATTTTCCAAAATTTTGCGCAAAAAGTCAATAATTATATCAAAAACTTTAATACATTTTTAAAAAATTTAATTATTTTCAATAAAACTTTAATTCAATTCGCTGACTTAATTTAATTATTTTCGAAAATTATGTTGAAATTCAGGAATTCAATTATTTTCAAAAATTTGATAAAATTTATTACGTGGTTTCAATTATTTTCGATGGAATTTTATTTAACTTCTTGAAAAGGATTTTTATTATTTTCAAAAATTTTAACCAATTTTCTCTAAAAAAATTTGATTATTTAAAAATTTTTATAATAAAATCCTTCAAAAAATTAAAATTATTTTAATAAATAATAAAAATTCTTGTCAAAATTACTATTATTTCGAAAAGTAAAAAAATTCTTCGCAATAATTTAATTATTTTCCACACAATTTTAATGAAATTTTCTAGAAATAATTCAATTATTTTTAAAAATTTTAGTGAATTTAATTATTTTCAATAAAACTTTAATTCAATTCGCTGACTTAATTTAATTATTTTCGAAAATTATGTTGAAATTCATTAAAGGAATTCAATTATTTTCAAAAATTTGATAAAATTTATTACGTGGTTTCAATTATTTTCGATGGAATTTTATTTAACTAATATTATGCACAAGAATTAAGTTATTTTTAATTCAATTTTAATAAAATTTCCCGACAGAATTAAATTGTTTTTTTTGTAAGAATTTTAATAAAATTCTTTGCAGATATTTAATTATTTTCATAAATAATAAAATTCTTCCCAGGAAGGAATTTTATTTTTTTCTCAGGAAGAAAAAAATAGAAAACTTTTTTCTACATTTCCAATGGTGAAATAGATTTTTAATTCAATATTACAAAATGGTAAAAAGTTATAAGAGATGCAAACTTGTAAAACAGATTTTAAATAATTCAAAATTATAAATTATAAAAAGCAAAATAAGAGTTAAAGAAATATTAACAGAAAGAAATAATTGAAATAAAAAAGAAATAGAAGAACATTTCCCTTTGTAATATTTTTTTAAAAAAAAAAAAACTTGTAGTCAATCGTAGACCATTGGTTGTAAATTTTACAATTATTTTACCATCAAAGGAACGTCAAAGATAAGTTTTAAAAATGTATTCAGTCCTTTAAATATTTATTTTACTCTCTCCGATTCGAAAAAGTTTTGGAAAAAGAGAATTTTTCAACAAAAAAGCAGTATTACATTTGGGTATTTCTTTTTCTCCCTCAAGTGAACCGAAAAAGAAAAAAAATCTTCAGTCTTCCTAAAATAAAATATTCACTGAGCAAAAATATTAAATTCTTTTTTTCGCTTAGGAAAATGAAATTTTCTTTCTAAACAAAAAGAAAGATTTGTTTTTTCATTTTTTATGTTGTTGTGAAAGCACGGCAATTTACTCACATCGTAAGTGGGTAAATCCCCTTTGCCAGGAGGACCTGGCGGTCCTATCTCGCCTTTTTCGCCCGCAATTCCATCTCTTCCGGGCTCACCCTTTTGACCCTGAGGTCCTTCTGGTCCCATTATTCCAATATCGCCTTTCTCACCCTTCTGACCAAAAGTACCTTGCTGTCCTCTTTCACCTGGCGGTCCAGCTATACCCTGCAGAAAAAAATCTTAATTAGAAAAAAATCTTTTTCTACCCAATTCTACAAAAATTATCACTAAATAAATTATTATCATTTTATCAATTATCAATTGTAAATTATAAATTATAAATTTAATTAAGTAATTTAATTACTTAATTATTTAATTATTTAATTATTAAATAATTAATATTATTAAATAATTATTGGATTATAAAATTTATACCTAGTTATTAATTATAAATTAATATCGAACCTTAATTTCTAAATTAAATACAAATTCTCGATAAATTAACTCTCAAGGGACATATGGGGAAAAAATTCAAGTTATCGAGAATTTTATTTATCAAATATTTTAAATAGTAAAATTTTCTCAAGGGGAAAGTAATCAATTTTAATTTATCCAGAAATTTTATTTCTCGATAAATAAAGACATTTCATCAAAGTATAATAATTCAACGATAATTATTATCGAGAGTTGTCGCAGTATAAATGAGAAATTACAATTATAAATAAATATGAGAATATTGAGCACTTTCAGGAAAAACGATAGAATAAAAATTTAAATTTTCTGGAATTCGCTTGAATATTTGCGATAAATTATTATTGTTTTGTGTAAAAGCAATAAAATTAATAAAATCCACAAATAAAATTGTTTTGTTAATTAATGGGATTGCGCAATTATGACGTTTTAGGTGAAATTGTTAATTTTAAATCTGTATAATTTCGACAAAACTTGACTGATTTTATAATATTTTAGATATAGTATATTTCTAGTAAATTTTGTTTTTTTTTAATTTTGAAAATTTTTTTTTGAAAATCTTTAAAAAAAAAAATTTTAATCTTGCTTTTTTTTAAAATAAACCTAACTGTTAAATTTTTACAAAAACTGCTTTTTCTGTCAATTTTCTATCATTTTCAAACGAAAAGTGAGATTTTTTCTAAATATTAACAAATTTTTCTGGAATTAAAAATTACACAAAAAATAGTACAAAAATTCATTATTATAAATAATTCACTGTTCATTTTTAAATAGTTCCATATTCAAAATTAAAAAAGTTTACTTACTGACTAATTAACTGAATAAATTTTAATTGTTTATTATTTTTAAAAATTTTATTAAAATTTTATGCAAGAATTCAATAATTTTCTTAAAAATAATGAAAATTTTTGTACAAATTCAATTATTTTTAATAAAATTTTTATTAAATTCGCCGAAAGAATTTAATTATATTTTTTAAAAATTTGAATAGAATTCTACGAAATAATTCAATTATTTCCAAAATTTTTTAATAGAATTCTTTGGAAGAATTTAATTATTTTAATAAATAATAAAATTCTTTGCAGGAATTAAATTATTTTTAATACAATTATAATAAAATTCGCATAAAGAATTTAAATATTTTCAAAAATTTCAATAAAATTCTTTGAAACATTTAAATAATTTTATAATTTTCATAAATAATGAAATTCTGTGCAGAAATTCAATTGTTTTCTTAAAAATAATCAAAATCTTCGCACAAATTCAATTAATTTCAATAAAATTTTAATTAAATTCGCCGAAAGAATTTAATTATTTTTAAAAATTCGAATAAAATTATACAAATTAATTCAATTATTTTTAAAAAATTTTAATAGAATTCTTCGCATGAAATCAATTATTTTAGTTAATTATAAAATTTTCTGCAGGAATTCAATTATTTTCAATACAATTGTAATCAAAATTTGGTGAAAGAATTTAAATATTTTCAACAATTTCAATAAAATTCTTTGAAACATTCGAATAATTTTCATAAATAATGAAATTCTGTGCAGAAATTCAATTATTTTCTTAAAAATAATCAAAATCTTCGCACAAATTCAAGTAATTTCAATAAAATTCTTCAAAACAATAATTTAATTATTTTTAAGAATTTTAATAAAACTCCTCCACAGAATTAAATTATTTTTTTAAGAACCTTTTAAAATATTCTTAGCAGAAATTTAATTATTTTCATAAATAATAAAATTCTTCGCAAGTATTTAATTATTTTCAGAAGTAATAAAATTCTTCGATAGAAATAAAATATTTTTATAAAAATAAGAAAAGTCATTGCTGGAATTTAATTATTTTTAATACAATTTTAATAAAATTTCTGTTAAAAAATCAATTATTTTTAAGTATTTTAATAAAATTCTTTGTAGAAATTCAATTATTCTCATAAATAATAAAATTTCCCCACAGGACTTCAATTATTTTCAATATAATTTTAGTAAAATTTCTCTAAAGAGTTAAGAAAAATTTTCTAAAATTACAATAAACTTCTTTATGAGAATTCAATTTGTTTCAGTACATTCTTGATTAGATTCCGTGAAAGAATTTAATTATTTGTTGAAATTTTAAAAAATTTCCTCGAAGAAATTTAATTATTTTGAAATAGGACAATAGAATTCTAAATAACAATAAAGTACCCACGCTTTGATAACTTCTGTGTGTTTTCTAGTTATTATATTAGAAGAAAATTGCAATAAATATAAAAAAATAAAATATTAAAAAAATAATTCGCCAAGGAAAAACTTTTTCCGGGCGATAAATATTTATTTTCAAATCATACGAGAATTTATTATAAATTTATAAGACAATTTTTCGTTCAAAACATTACTCAATATTTCACGGAAACATTAATAAATATTTATTTTCAAATTATATCAATTTTTTTTATAAATGAAACAATTTTTTTTCTCTCTCACTAAATAAAGTAAATATTGCACCAAAATATTTATTTATATATACGGAAGCGTTAGATTTTAGATGAGAAAATTTATAATAAATCTCGTATAACTTTCAAATAAATTTCAAGTTGTAAATAAAATATTATGTCTATAAAATTTGTTGAAATATTTTCCGTGTAAAAATAAAACGCTTTTCCACCTCTTAAAATCATGTGCGAAATTGTGTTTTCTTACGTGTGTGTTTATATATATATACAGAATAGAGGAAATTTTGTTTTTATGCCAATACACATAGAAATGGAAGCAACAAATTTCAACTGTGGATAATAAAAGTAGTAAGAGAAATCGACATTTCAAAGGTGCACTGCGCACAGACGAGACGTATAAAATTATGAAATAGTGATATAGAGATATATATATAGATTGGCAAAATGTGGAATGGTCGTTTGAGATTTATTGACATTGGACAAAACGGAGAAAAATATCTTTGGATTCGGTTTATCTTCCAGTACCGTGAGTCCCATTTGTCCCTGTTTTCCTTCTTTTCCAAGGACTCCGGGCTCTCCCTTAGGACCTTGAATCATTTTCGGCATCGTGAAGGATGTGAGCAATGCCGTCGCGTTACAGCTGCATTCACCTTGCTCTCCCTTTGGTCCTGGCGGTCCTCTCGGCATATTCTCGTGGAATTCCTTAAATAAAAAAACATTCCTCGTCATTTTTGCTCTTTTTGTCGAGAAAAAGGAAAATAAATCTCTGTCAATTTTGCTTTAAAAAAAATAAATAAATAAATAAATAAATCGCTGTAAATTTTGCTTGTAAAAAAATAAATCTCTATAAATTTTACTTGTGAAAAAAAAATAAATCTCTGTAAATTTTGCTTGTAAAAAAATATTTCTGTAAATTTTGCTTGTAAAAAAAAATCTCTGTAAATTTTGCTTTAAAAAAAGATCTTTGTAAATTTGTTATTTAAAAGAAATTAATAATTCTCCGTAATTCTTGCTTTTTTTTAAAAAAAATTATTTTTTATGCTTTTAAAAATAGAATTTTTTGTAACTTTTGCTTTTTTGTTAAAAAAAAGGAAAAAATTACAAAGTTTTTGCTTTCTGTTAAAAAAAAAACAAAAATTACAAAGAATAATTTTTCTAACAAAATGAAAAAATTAAAAAGAATTATCATTTTTAAAAGCATCAATTTACAAAGCATTTTTTTACAGCAAATATTTTTTTGACAAAAAGCAAAAATTTAAAGAAATGTTGTAATTGTTGCTTTTTGTTAGAAACATTATTCTTTCTAACTTTTAGTTTTTATTAATGAAAGCAAAAAAATTACAAAGAATAATTCTTTTTAAATGCATAAATTACCAACAATTTTTTTTTTTTGAAAGCAAAATAATTACAAAGAATTATTTTTTAGGCAAAAAGTAAAAGTTTCAAAGAATTTTGAAATTTTTGCACTTTGTTAGAAAAATAGTTCTGTGTGAGTTTTGGTTTTTGCTAAAAAAAGAAAAAAATGACAAAGAATTGTTTTTTTAACAACAATTACAAAGACTAATTTTCATAAAATAAAAATTACAAGCAATTAGTTTTTTAAAAGCAAAAATTTACTTTTTGTTTTTAAAGAAAATAATTCGTTGCAATTTTTGCTTTGAAAAATTTATTCGTAAGTTTTTTGTTATGAAATTAATTCTTTGCAATTTTTCGCTTTTAAAAAAATAATTCTGTGTAGGTTTTGGTTTTTGTTAAAAAAAGAAGAAAATTACAAAGAATTGTTTTTTTAACAACAATTACAAAGAATAATTTTCATAATTTATTTATTTATTCAAAATACACGGGATTTTAATTTTTTATAATATAAAAATTACAAAGAATTAAAGTTTTTTAAAAGCAAAAATGTACAAAAATTTACTTTTTGTTTTTAAAGAATTTAATTCTTTGTAATTTTTTGCTTCTTAAAATCTATTTTATGCAATTTTTTTTATAAAAAGCTAATTCTTTGCAATTTTTTGCCTTTAAAAAAATAATAAATTTATTTGTAACTTTTTGGCATTTATTAAAAAAAATAAATTTTTTTTAGTAATTTTGCTTTTTCTCAAAAAAAAATAATTTTTTGTAATTTTTACTTTTTGTTAAAAATAATAATTCTTTTTTGTCAAAAAAATGTTTCTTCGTAATTTTTGTTTTTTGTCCAAAAAAAAGTAATTCTTTGTAATTTTTTCCTTTAGAAAAAAATCTTTATAAATTTTGCTCTTTGTTAAAAAATAATTCTTTTTGTTATAAAAGTAGGTAATTCTTTGCAATTTTTTGCTAAAAAAAATAATTCTTTGTAATATTTTACTTTCAAAACAAACTATTTTTTGTAATTTTTTGGTTTTAAAAAAATAATTCTTCCTAATTTTTTTCTTTTTTCTTAAAAAAATATGCTTTTGTAATTTTTGCGTTTTTTTACGAAAAAAAAAATTCTTTGCAATTATTTATTTCTTTACTAGCCACGAAAAAAAAATTCAAACACTTACCCTTCTCTTTTACTAAGTATCCTTATTTGATAATTTTTTTTACGTTCAAAAATTCCTTTTGCGGAAAAAAGCATTTTTCCCATTTAAAAATTTTTGCGTTTTTAATTTTTATTAGGGATAAAAAAATTTTAAATAAAATATTTTCAATTTCAGAGTTCCAACTTTATATCTCAAGGTTAAAAATACGAAATAGAAAAAATAATTTTCTTCTCTACAGACAACGATTTTTTTAATTATTTCTGGTTGAGTTAGAGTAAAAAAAAAAAAAAAATGTCAACATTAACGAAAATTAACTTCTCATGTTTTGAAAATTTTTTTTTAATGAAGGAGAAAATAGTTGCACATGCGAGAAAGTGTAAAAATTCTCTTTTCTCTCGAGATTTCTTGAACAGAAAAAAAAAGAATTAGAAAAATGGAGAGAAAAAGATGAAAAGAAAAATGCAGAAAAGGAAGAGAAAAAAATATAATAGAGAAGAAAAAGAAAGTATAGAAAAAAAGAAAATATATAGAAAAGAAAAAAAAAAGAATTAGAAAAAATAAAGAAAAGAAAAAATATAGAAAAAGAATAAAAAAATACAGAAAAAGAGAAAAAATATAGAAAAAGACAAAAAATACAGAAAAAAGAGAAAAAATAGAGAAGAAAAAAATTGATGGAAGAAGGAAAAAGAGTTCTGATAAAAGAAAAGAAAAATGAAAGTTTAATAATGTAACACGAGTTTTTAAAAAGAAGGAGAGAAAAAAAAGGGAGGAAATATTGTGTTCACCTCGTCATTAAGGTCGAAGCCATCTCCTGGAGGACCTGGTGGTCCCGGTGGTCCTCTCACACTCTCACCCTTGTCTCCTTTGTCACCCTTTTCACCTTTCATAGCGCGAGCTAAAAAATAGGGTTTTCATTTTTAATCGATTCATATATATGGCTGATTATTATTGTTCGCCATAAATTTTTTTTTCCTTTATTCAACTTACCGTCGACATTTGGTGGCGGTGGTGTAATTAACGGTGGTGGATTAAATTCCTCGCTTCCCTCACCATTATCATCATCATCATCAGTTACAATCTATGGCAAAAAAGAAGAAAACAAAAAAGATGACAAAAAATTAGAAGAAGAAAAAAAATTTTTTTTCCCATTTTTAACTTGCGAGAAATATAGTGTATTTCACTTTGAATTTCGTGTGCGGAAAGTTATCCAAAAGATTACAAGTTAGTTTATAAGCACAAGTTTCAATACACTCCCGCATATCTATACAATATGTGGGGGTTATAGAAGAGAAGCGCGAAATGAGCTGCTTAATTTAGTTCTGAACTCAGAGAAGAGAATGTTGGAAACACGTGTGTAAAATTAATACAAAATTTAGTTTAATTAATACGGCAGTTAGTTTCTAAAATGGTTATTTTGTTAAACATTTACACATATATACATCTCTCTCTCTCTTTCGTTGAAGATTTTTTTTTTTAAATAAATTATTACGAAATTGCACAATATTTTCTTTTTCCCATTAAAAAAAAAATTTTTTAATTTAAAAAACAAAACAAAGAATTGAATGAAAATATTTTTTCTTGCATTAAACAAAATGGAAAAATTAAAAATATAAAGAAACTATTAAATATTTTTTTTTTTCATTAAACAAAATGAAAAAAAATATAAAAAAAGTAAATATTAAAATTAGTTATAAAACAAAAAATTACCTTTAAAAAATAAGTTAAATAATAAATATATATATACAAAAAAATAAACAAATAATAAAAAGGAATAATCAAATTTGTATAGAAAAATAAAAAACAGAATATTGAAAAAAAAAATTCTTTTTTAAATAATAAATGACAATAAAAAAAGGGAAAAACAATGAATAATAAATTCTACACAGGATGGAAACTGTTATTCAAAATGATTTTATTCATTATTATATTTTTTTTCATTTAATAAAATGAAAAGATGGGAAAAAAATAAAGAAAAAATTAAAAATATTTTTTACTTATTTTAATATTAAACAAAATGGAAAAATATAGAAAATAAAGAAAATATTATAATTTAAAAATTGAAAGAAAATAAAAATTAAAAAATTCATTTTAAAAAATGAATTAAATAATAAACGTAACAGACAAAATAAATAAATGATAAATTGATAATAACGAAAGAGAAAAATAATGAATAATAAATTCCTAACAGATGAAAATTGTAAATCAAAATCATTTTTTTTCATTAAACAAAATGGAAAAATTTAAAAAATAAAGAAAATACTAAAAAAAATATTTTTTTTTCATAAAAAAAAAATGGAAAAATCTAAAAAATAAAGAAAATATTAAAATTAGTTGAAAACAGTTAAATAATAAAATGCATTATAAATAAATATTTATGTATTTCTTTAAAAATACATTTATTTATTTATTTAGTAATTAAAAGGAAATAATAAAAATTGTACAGAAAAATAAATAGCAGAAATTAATAAAAAAACTTTAAAAAAAAAAAAAAAAATAAAATGGTAATAACCAAAGAGAAAAATAATGAAAAAGTAAATTCTGAACAAATGAAAATTGATATTCAAAATGATTTTACTCATTATTTTTGTTTCATTCCCTTTGTAAAAATTATATAATTCATTATTTTACTCACTTTTATACATTCTATTCATTATCTGCATTACACATTTTCTCGTATAAAAGATGTATTTTTTTTTTAAATTGGAAAAATATTATTTAATATTATTTTAAAAATTAATTAATACTATGAAAATACTATTAATTAATATTATGGCAAATACTAATTAATATATTAAAAATATTATTAATTAATAAAAATATTATTAATTAATAAAAATATTATTAATTAATAAAAATATTATTAATTAATAAAAATAATTTTGTTTATTAATATTAATAGTAATTAATATTTAAATATATAAATATTTAACGATTACGATTAATTACAAAGTTTAAATAATCGTTAGTTACCTACAACCGGTTTAAACAAATAAAATTTACCGCAAAATGTTATTAATTATTATAATATATTTTTAATTTAGCTACAATAAACATTAAAATTAAATAATTACAAATTTTGAATTAGTTTAACGTATTATTAAAATTAATCTTATTCAAATATTTATTAATTAATTTTAAATCTAATTTTAAATTATTTTTTTTTATTTACAACGTTTTCCTTTTATTAATTTTATTCAATTATTGATTAAAACACTTTCAAAACTATTTTCAAATTATTTATTTTTATTTACAACACGTTTTTTTTTTATTCAATTATTTATTCAAACACTGACCTTTTCAGATAAATTCCATCTAATTATATGAAATGACGAGACTAACCAGCTGCTGTTTTTTTTTTACAAAAAAACTTGCGTCCCAGTTTTCAATAATTGTTTTATTATTTATGACTATATTAGGATAAGAATACTGAATAATAAAAGAATAGAGTAACATAAAATAAACAGAATTTAAATTTATTAACATTTTCGGAATATTGAACATGAAAATAGAATTTTTAGCATTTATATTCGCCAAATAAATAAATAATGAAAATCTAAGAATAAAATGCTAATAATAAAGAGAAAAATAAGATCTGTAGTAAAATAATAAAATAAAAAATAAGACGAGTAATGAAATATAAAAATAGAAACAAATAAGAATAATTATAATAAAATAAGAAAATGAAAAATAAGACGAGCAGTGAATGGAAAAAAAAGATAAATAAGATAAAAAATAAAGAAATAAAATAAAAAATAAGATGAATATAAAAAAATGTTTTACGTAGAACAACGATAAGTTTCTTTAGATTAGCGAAAGTCTTAACTGAATAAACTAAAAGTTTCGCTAATATAGTGAAATTATTTTTCGCTGTTAAAGGTAAATCTTTTTTTTCCGTGAAATTAAAAAAACAATATTAAAAGAAATAAAAAAGAAATTTAAAAAAAAACATTAAAAAAAACATTTTTCGAAAATGAAAAAATATTAAAGAAAAAATAAATAAAAAGTGGAAAAAACATAAAGTTTCTTATTTAAATAACTTAAATTAATTTAACTATCTTAAATACAATTTGCTACAGATGGAAAAAAATATTTTAATTCGTTTTTAATTATCACAAATTGTATACGTATATATATATATGTTTCTAGAGAAAATGCATTTTTACATCCGGACCAAAAAGTCTCTTTAAAAGATGGAGATAATAAAATTTTAGGAGAAGATTTTTGCAGTCTCTCAAGTTGAAGCAACGTCGTAATTTTAGAAATTGTAAAGTCGTAACTCGAGCGTAATCCGTATAATACTTCACCTCATACAGAAACGAGGGAGATGTTATCCTGGGAGGGTAAACTTGCTGCTACAATTGTTTAGTATCCTTTTTAACTTTGACGACACGCTTTTCCTTCAAATATCCCTCTTATTACTTTTCCCATGAAATTATTTAGTTTCATATACGTACATCTATTTCTTTTTCTTTTTCTACTTCTTCTAAAAAATAATAAAATGTTTTTTTTTTTTTTTTGAAAGAAAGAGACAAACGGATTTTTTTTATTGCTAAATTATTAGTTGTCTAGTTTTGTTATTAACTTATTTTCTTTTTTATGTATTTTTTTATTTACTCTCCCTGTTCCTTTTTTTATTTTTATACTATTTCTTTTTTTTTTTTTTTTATTTATATATTTATTTATTAGTATGTTGTCTATAAAATTATTTATTTTCATAATCGTTTTTATATGCAAATAAATAAATTTATTTTTATTTTCATTTTTTTGTAAATATTACTTATTTCTTTTATTTACTTTTTTATTTATTACATTGTCATCACTATTTTTTTTGCTATTTTCAGTTATTTCTGTTTATTTACTTTATTTATTTTCTATTATTTATAGAAATTCTATTTATTACTTAAATACTGATTCAAAATTGTTTAAATATTGTAAATATTGTTTTAAATATTTAAATATTGTTTTAAATATTTATTTCACTTATTTACATATTCATTTACTTGTCACTAACTTTCTATTTATTCATTCACAAAATTATCAATTAATATTTAAATTTAACTGAAGTGAAAAAAATCCTTATTAATTATTTACTTTTTAATTATAACGATTGAAATGTTTTTGAACTATTTTCCCATTTTTTTTTCACATTTACTTCATTATTATTTTTACCTCGCTATTATGTACTATAACTATATATTAAAATTACGAATGAATTTAGTATTATGCGGGAGCTTCTTATTTTCTCAAATATTCCTTTCTAGTAAATGAAGTTTAAGAAGATTACACTCCATTAGGAAAGCCACTGACTTCATTGTATATTCTTCTTAAAAAAAAAAGAAAAGAAAAAAGAAAACACAGTAAAAATACGAATTGGCATTTTTTCTAGACTTTTTCATAAGTAAAGCTTTAAAAACTCGGGTAAGAAGCTCTAATTGGTTTTTTCTGCGTTCAAACTACTTAGTAAATAGTGTGCCATTTTGTGTTTAAATTTTTAAAATATATTTTTCTTTCGCTAAATAAATAAATGAAGAAATAATTATGTTAATTCTAGATTTATAGTTCTACAGTTGTCTCTCGATAAGTGGGCCACTTTTTTAAATAAGCGAGGCAAATGAATAATAATATTTGAATTTTCCCGAAATTATTCACGAGAATAATAATATTAATTTTAATTATTTAGGAAAAATAAATGAAAAAAATAATTATAATAATTTATGTCGATAAACTTAATTATAATAATTAAGTTTATCGTAATAAATAATAATTTTAAAAAACAGTTTCAATAGCTGAAGTCGTTGAGGGGCATGAAACTTTAATATTAAAGGTTCGAATCTCCACAGAGGTGGAAAATTTTCTTTCAGATTTATAATAAAAAATAGGAAACAAAAAATAAAATATAAAATAATGAAAATAAAATTAAAATATAAAATAATAAAAATAAAATTAAAATATAAAATAAAAAAATGAAATTAAAATATAAAATAATAAAAATAAAATTAAAATATAAAATAAAAAAATAAAATTAAAATATAAAATAAAAAAATAAATAAAAATAGTAAAATAAATAAAGCAATAATA